AGGAAGAAGGCTGTTGAATCTGAGGAGGATTCACAGTTGGCCTATTGTGTAAAGAGGGTCTTACCTCATACACGTTCTGCTGCATGATTCACATACTCTGGAAGACACTTGTTCCTGAGGGACAGCAGCACAGCTTTTGTAAAACATACTGTAGCCAGCTGGAGAACTGAAGAGTATTTTGTATGTGCGTAGTATTCCTCCACATTTGTTTCCCATTGTGATTTTCCATGTAGGGTATTTCTAATGAGAAATTATATTTAGTAAATTGCCAAGTCTAACTAAAAGGAAAACAGCCATGAAGTGAATTAGTGGGAAATATTATATATATTTTTTAAATGCCTTTGTGGGTGATTTCCAGAGCAGCAGGTGAGAAACAGTGAGTTGACTTCAGTGTAGACATGCTGTGTCTCTGTCTGAGGACTCCTGCAGGGATGATCTGGGTTGGATGATGCATGGCATTGTCACAGGCAACAGGGACACTTTGTTATACAGTATGAGGTGACTGAGGAGATGAACAGACACATCCTGCAGTAGGACATTCAGCTGCTACTACTAAGAAGTGAAAACACTGGTTTTCCACTAAGCGAGAAGTGAAATAACTACTACTCCATAGAAGAAGCAGTTCTGTTCAAACAGATTTGTGCACATAATAACATATAGGGTACCAGGTGAGCAAAGTGGTTCTAAACAACATAGCCCTACACTGTGTTTGTGTCTGTGTGTGTTTGTAAAAAACAGCTCTGCTCAGAGGTGTGGTGCACACACCCTCTACAGCTGACTCTTACAGCTTCTCTTGCACACACACACACGCACGCACACACACACACACACACACACACACACACACACACACACACACACACACACACACACACACACACACACACAACACACACATTGAAATACCCTCATAGGAAGACTTGATGTAGTCAAATTGAGCCATCACTCTCAATGATACCACCATGGGATGCTCAGGGCTGTTGATTTTGGGCTTTGTCATAAATATGTCTCACTGCTTGGACATGCTGGGTAAGTCTGAGGAGTTATAATCCATCTGTGAGTGTGCAGTTCTGTTTATGGGTTGAGTTTACTAGCCCTTAAAAACTTGTTTAACCTGTGGGATTTTACACCGAACAGAGGTGCAATAGTTTCCCTGCCTGATTAGTCAAATTATAAAGGCTTGCAAGCAAAAACCACAAGAGCAGAATCCATTTGAAATATTCTGAATGCATTTTGACTATATCATTATCAACACACTAAAAGGTATGGAGTTGATTAATTCTGTTTTAAACAACACTTTATTGCTGACGTATGTTTATATTAGAATATTGGCTGTACACTGAGTGTACCACTGTGTTTAGGGAAAATCCCTATGTGTTGTTAGTCAACTCTATTTTCTGTTAGTCAGAAAGACCTCACAGTTTGATCTTAACTGAGGAACCTCTTCAGAGTGTATTTTCAATTGGTAGATTAATCAGTGCCTCTGAGGAATAAATAGGTCTGTAGGTTAGAAGCACTGCTTCGACAGTATGACTTTCCATCCCCAGATCTCTCCACTAACACACCATCATACAATGCATTAGTTACATCACTGCACTGATCTATTTGTTTGATCAAAAGCAGTTCTTTGTCAATATAAATTCTACCTTTTCAGTTGCATTGCTACCCTCTGAATATTGAATCATCTGCAAGCATCCATGTACGTGAATGTCTGCAGTTGGGTAGAAGCCAAGATAAAACCGCAGCAGCTTCATGTGACTATACTACGATATACTGGCCCTATTTGGTACTTGGGTAGCCTAAACTATATCCATAGATTAGGGCCTAACAAAATTGTTTCAATTGACTGATTTCTTTATATGAACTGTAAATTGTTGCATATTGCATTTATATTTTTGTTCAGTATACATAAAGCACCCTAACCTTAAACAGAGACAGTTGTCAGTGGACATTATTGTGTATTTCAGGCTGTTGCCATGTAATTATTTGCAATGCATCCTTTAATTGTGCCTCATATATGCTATTTTTTATGCCTTTTCCATTTTTATGAACCATAAACTCACAAGACAAGATATACAGTGGGGAAAAAAGTATTTAGTCAGCCACCAATTGTGCAAGTTCTCCCACTTAAAAAGATAAGAGAGGCCTGTAATTTTCATCATAGGTACACGTCAACTATGACAGACAAAATGAGAATGAGAAAAAAAAATCCAGAAAATCACATTGTAGGATTTTTAATGAATTTATTTGCAAATTATGGTGGAAAATAAGTATTTGGTCAATAACAAAAGTTTCTCAATACTTTGTTATATACCCTTTGTTGGCAATGACACAGGTCAAACGTTTTCTGTAAGTCTTCACAAGATTTTCACACACTGTTGCTGGTATTTTGGCCCATTCCTCCATGCAGATCTCCTCTAGAGCAGTGATGTTTTGGGGCTGTCGCTGGGCAACACAGACTTTCAACTCCCTCCAAAGATTTTCTATGGGGTTGAGATCTGGAGACTGGCTAGGCCACTACAGGACCTTGAAATGCATCTTACGAAGCCACTCCTTCGTTACCCGGGCGGTGTGTTTGGGATCATTGTCATGCTGAAAGACCCAGCCACGTTTCATCTTCAATGCCCTTGCTGATGGAAAGAGGTTTTCACTCAAAATCTCACGATACATGGCCCCATTCATTCTTTCCTTTACACGGATCAGTCGTCCTGGTCCCTTTGCAGAAAAACAGCCCCAAAGCATGATGTTTCCACCTCCATGCTTCACAGTAGGTATGGTGTTCTTTGGATGCAACTCAGCATTCTTTGTCCTCCAAACACGACAAGTTGAGTTTTTACCAAAAAGTTATATTTTGGTTTCATCTGACCATATGACATTCTCCCAATCCTCTTCTGGATCATCCAAATGCACTCTAGCAAACTTCAGACGGGCCTGGACATGTACTGGCTTAAGCAGGGGGACACGTCTGGCACTGCAGGATTTGAGTCCCTGGCGGCGTAGTGTGTTACTGATGGTAGGCTTTGTTACTTTGGTCCCAGCTCTCTGCATGTCATTCACTAGGTCCCCCCGTGTGGTTCTGGGATTTTTGCTCACCGTTCTTGTGATCATTTTGACCCCACGGGGTGAGATCTTGCGTGGAGCCCCAGATCGAGGGAGATTATCAGTGGTCTTGTATGTCTTCCATTTCCTAATAATTGCTCCCACAGTTGATTTCTTCAAACCAAGCTGCTTACCTATTGCAGATTCAGTCTTCCCAGCCTGGTGCAGGTCTACAATTTTGTTTCTGGTGTCCTTTGACAGCTCTTTGGTCTTGGCCATAGTGGAGTTTGGAGTGTGCCATTCATACAGGTAACGAGTGGAGGACAGAGGAGCCTCTTAAAGAAGAAGTTACAGGTCTGTGAGAGCCAGAAATCTTGCTTGTTTGTAGGTGACCAAATACTTATTTTCCACCATAATTAGCAAATATATTCATTAAAAATCCTACAATGTGATTTTCTGGATTTTCTTTTTCTCAATTTGTCTGTCATAGTTGACGTGTACCTATGATGAAAATTACAGGCCTCTCTCATCTTTTTAAGTGGGAGAACTTGCACAATTGGTGGCTGACTAAATACTTCTCTCTCTCTCTCTCTCTCTCTCTCTCTCTCTCTCTCTCTCTCTCTCTCTCTCTCTCTCTCTCTCTCTCTCTGAATAAGTGAGCATTTTGGGATATTCTCAACGTTGTGATTGTTTCCATATGTTGTGATGTACAACCCACCACCTCTTTCTGTTCTCTGAATTTATTTGGTCAGAGTATTTATAGTTGGAGACATGAGCGTTGTCCTCATCAAAGTGTCCTAACAGGCCAGAATTTTATAGGATAGGTGATGTGAGGTGTTAGACTGGGTATCCACTTAGGCGGCTTGGGTCATTAAGGTTAAATTTGCCTCCCGTTTCCACTGGCTAATAGATCAACTGTGTCCTTAAGTGTTCCATAATAGAGAGACTAGAGAGAGAAGAGTGAGTTGGTGTGCATTGGACTCTGCATGCTGTCATCCTCCCAACACTCAAAATTGTCAGGCTGCTTTATTAAATGTCCCCTTCACTGAAACATCCCCTAATCGTGGCATATGTCTTAGAGACAGACTGTAGCTCCGTCCCAAATGGCACCCTATTCCTTACTATATACTGCACTACTTTTGACCAGGGAATAGGGAATAGGGAATAGGGTGCCATTTGGGACACAGCCTCAGGCTGAGGGTAGGGATCACAGCACAGCTTTTGGACTGTTTTCAGTTCATTAACAAAATGGAGTCCTCCATTAAATCTCCACCAGTGGGACCAGGCCCGGTTGCATTTTTCAAACGTCACAATCAATGTGCACAGTTCAGTCCTAGTCTTTAGCCTTGGATCAACACAAAACCCATGTTAGTCTAGAGAGATAAGTCTTATCACTTAATAGTGCATATTACTTATTACTTATCAGCCCTGCAGCATTTCTATCTTCTGCATTCCACAAAGTAATTGTTTCCATGGACAGTCATTATGTGCTCTGCCCCATACACAAAGGTTGCAACCCAAATGGCACCCTATTCACTATACTGCAGTACTTTTGACCACGGTCCAAAGGTAATAGGGTGCCATTTGGGACACAAGCAGCTGCTTCATCCAGTCTCACCAAGAGACAACGGGATGGACACTCACAGACAGGGAACCCTTTTTATAGAAGTCACACCAACAGACATCCATCATTTCACTGCCCCTCCTTCTCAACAGAAATCACATTTGCTGTTGGTTGTGTTTTTAGCAACGTCTATGGAATCTCTCATCAATTAATCAAAGTGCATCCCACTAAGATATGAGTGATTGTAAGTGACTAAGTCTGCGTCCCAAATGGCACCCTATTCCCTTAGGGCTCTGGTCGAAAGTAGTGCACTAGGGAATACGGTGCCCCTTTGGGACGCAACATGACTGAATTACTAATCATTTCTGCCTATCACAATGTTTTTTTTCCCTCACAGATATGGAGGAGGACATGGAGATTGACCGTAACGTCACTGGGATTCTTGGAGAGGACATCTTCCTCCGCTGTCAGTACCTGGGACAGAATGACATCACAGACGCCTCATGGAAACGCCCAGACTACAGAATGAAGCGATCGATGAAGAAATTAACAGGCTACAAGAACAACAAGGCATTCAGCAAAGACCCAGACTTCTCTGCCCCAGCCTCTCCCACCAATCTGACTGTGAAGATGAGGGTGTCTACTCTGGAGGCCCAGGGGGAGTACACATGTGTGTTCGCCACCGATGATGAGGAGATCACTAACAGCATGCTTCTCACTGTCCTAGGTAAGCCTGACTGAAGAACATGGCCCAATTGGAATACTCTTAAAATGCATCCTTCCTTCTTCCCTTCCTATAAGTAATCACTAATCTGAGATGACAAGATTGGTGTAAGCAAGCTTTCCATAGCATTGCTTTGACCAATTATGTCATGTCAGATCATTGATTACTTCAAGGAAGTGAGGAAGGAAGGATGCAGTTTAAGAGTATTCGAAGGGGGCCTCTAATGGGTGATGGAAAAGTACCTAGAACCTAGATGGTAGAGAGGAGCAACAAAAGAAAACATGACCTCATGATGACATTAGTGGGGTTGGATAGAATATGTGACATTATCATTGCTTGTTGTATCTTTACCTTACTGTACCTTCAAGGTCATAGCAAAGACAGAATCATACAAACATCCATTGCATAAATGTTTCTCTTACCAGCATCATCCCCGTCATGTGTTTAAATTTTTTTGTTTTGAAGCTCGACCTGATATCCACACAGTGGTGACAGAGGACACAGACAACGCTACCCACTACCAGTCAGTCACATGCTCAGCTACCAATGGTAAACCTGTGGCTCTGATTCGCTGGGAGATCAACGGCAGCCCTCCTACTGACGACTCCTCTGTGGGGATGAGGAACACCAGTTATACCAATGGCACTGCCACTGTGACCAGCATCCTCCGCTTCCCCACCCACCTACAGGACCAGGACATGGTGACCTGTGTTGTCCAGCACCCAACCCTGCCTGACCCCACCACACATGTCACAGTGAGAGTGGAGACCTTCGGTAAGCCTGCCAGCTCACGTACACAAGGACTGCATCCTAAATGGCACCCTATTCCCTTTATAGTGCACTACTTTTGACCAGGAAGGGTGAAAAGATTTGGGATGCATCCTTGATGTGTATGTTTGTGTGTACAGTACTTGGCATCTCTCACTTTCGTGGGCAAGGATTTAGTTTGGGAAGAGGTTAATTAATGATCTGTGATGCTAAGAATCAATGTCTGAGAATGATCTGTAGATATTTGATCATACTGGGGCTGGCATCACCCTGAGCTCACTGGCACAGATGTTTCCATTCCTTTCCCCCAGCCTGTTGTTCCACATGGTCACCTCCCCACTCCCCACTCCCCACTCCCCACCATGTACCAGGTCTTGTGTCTCTCGCCAAGGCTGTGTTTCCTGTACTAGTCAGCCCTCGCAATCAGCTGTGGCACGACAGAGACAGATCATCATCATATTCTCATCACATTTAGATATCCCTCCCTACCACATTAGGAGACACGTTTTGATATACAGCCTGTATCCATATGTCAAAGATGTTCATATGACAGAAATGTCCTCCCTTATCCGTATGTGGTAGTATCAAAGTGTCTTTGATAATCGGCAAAAGAGTGATGCTTTTCTATATCCGCAGTCAGTCTGTATTGAGATGTGTGAAATAGTTTGCTTCCCAAATGGCACCCTATTCCCTATTTAGTGCACTACTTTTAACCAGAGTCCTATAGGAAATAGGGTGACATTTGGGATGCAGACATAGTCCTGTAGTTCCAGCCCCGCCAGCAGATGGGGAAGACATCTGTTCTCAGCTGTAGCCTGCTGAACAGATGGAACAGGTGAGAAGAGTCAGCACTCTCCTCCTAAACCCAACCGTCAGCCCTGTTATGCCCTGTGGTTATCTTTCATACATCTATCCTTTCACTTCAGCCTTCTCACAAATCTAAACCACAGCCCTAGAGGCCCAGACATTAGATTTAGGACTCACTGTTGTTAAACTAATGGATCATTCCCACCTGCTCATTTAAAATTATTATTTCTCTCTGCCTGCAGTGGCTCCCAATGTGACCATTGAGACATACCTGGTTCTAGAGGATGGGGAGGAGTTCTGGGTGGTCACCTGTGGTGCTGCCGGAGGGCGACCCCAAGCTGACATCACCCTGGTGCTGCCCAATAAGGAGACTAGTTCCATTCTACAGAAGGAGGTTGTCATGGATGCAGCAGACACATGGGTCAGGTCATACCGCTTCCCAGCTGAGCTTCATGAAGGGGAGAACATCACCTGCCTGTTTGACCACCCCAAGTTCCCACACAGAGAGCTACGGACCGTCACTTTGCCGGCATTCTGTGAGTACTTCACAAGTTATAACTGAGGATTTGGAGCCAAAAGTATGGTCTTATGAAACAACTTTTCATTTACTCTACTTAATAACAGAGTCTATGTTGGATCTTGTGTTTTCACTTCCTATTGTGTAGATCTGTCTGCTGTTCGGCTGCTGAACCCAGGGTTGGCAGACAGCAGCAACGAGAGCCAGGCTGTAGAGTCAGTGGTGCTGGAGGAAGGACAGAGCAACACCACCATCAGGCTAAAGGTTGTTGGGGATGTACCACGTTACAGTATTGTATGCACCAAGTAAGAATACCTGTATTACTATCATAATACAGACAAGATGTCTGTTGATCTCTCTTGATTGTTAACTTCTGTTAATCTCAGATAAAGGACAACATCACCATGAAGAAACTGCTGTTATAATCCTATCACTCAGGGAACAGTTACAAAAAACTAAGTTTGCTATCACGTTTTGCTTTATAGCAATTTCATTCATTTATGCTATTGTTACTATACTACTATTTTTATCACTAACGCAGGGGTGAACATCACCTACACATTGTGTTAGGCAGCTGTGGTGAGAGGTTTGGTTGAAAACCACAGGCGACAGACAGGCACTAGACACACATCCTGCAGATTTTTTAAGAAACATTCAGCTGCAGATTATGCGCATTGAAGCCACGTGGTCTGCGAACATCAAAGCGCATGCGTCTCAAATGGTATGTGCACGTGCAACCTGTAATTTAGATGTTTGTTGGTGTCGTCGGCGCACTAGATCTGGTCATTATGTTAACCACTTGCTTGTACACACTAGCTAGCTAGCTAGTAAATACACACTAGCTAGTACTTCTAATTCTAAATGTAATTTCACCACCTGTGCTGTTGGTGTAGGTAACGCACCATCCTCCCTGGCACCATTCGACATCCTGTCTGAGCTTGTATGTCTCACAGCGTCTGTGGCGTGAGAAGACACGTTGGTGACATTATCCCTGGATCTAACTATGTGAGAACCAAACCTCTTAGAGCTGCTGCTCTTCTGCCTTTGGAGAGTGGCTAACTGTAACTGTGTCTTGGCTTGTGCTGTCTCCTAGAGAACAGCAGTCTCTCCCTGAGGGTGTGGCGGTGATTGGCAGTGCTCTAACCCTGCAGGGTCCTGTGGAGCTCTACCATGCAGGGATGTATGAGTGTGAGGCCTCCTACTACAGCCACAGGGCATCTGTACAGCTGGACATTACCGTTAACCCACAAGTCAAGCAGCCTGGTATGAGCAGCGCCTTGTCTACGTATCATAGAGTGCATCCCAAATGGTTCCCTATTCTTGATATAGTGTCTATGGGTCCTGGTAAAATGTTTGGGATGTAGACTACAAATCATCTTCATAATTTGACAACTGGTAGCTATACCTGGCATTCTGCAATTTGTAGCGAGCCAGGGTATGTTAATACAAGTGACTTCTATAATAAATATTGTTAGTATAAATCAGAATGTTTATTTTCCTGCAAACTGTAAAAGGTAAGTGATTAGCATGTTTACAGCCTTCTCTCCTCCTCTCTGTGTGCTAGTGACTGTTCCTCCCAGCATAAGGATTGATGTCCAGGACAGACTGGGTGACAGGTTAATTGAGTGCCTGGCTGCAGTCCCTGTTGCCAATGTGTCCTGGGTTCTACCTGAGGGTGAGTCTGGGCCCTCCTGGTCCAATCTCACATCCCATAATGGAACCCACTTCTCTGTCAGCAGTGTGTTAGTCCTGCCTACCTGCTCAGCCCAGGAGCTCAATATGGAGTGTGTGATAGATCATTCTGTGTTTGTGTTGCCAGAGAGAAGACGGATAACACTGTTGTATGTTCAAAAAATCATCAAACACCATAAATTAAAGCTCTAGTGTTAAATAAAATATTTTCACTAAGAACATATATCCTATATCTCTGTTATTTTATTTACATTGGTAACATGTATGCTATATCGCTGTTCTATCTACATGCAGCTCCTCCTAACATCACCATCCAGTCCAGCTCTGAGTGGGAGAAAGATGTAGCACACACACTGGTGCAGTGCACTGTGGACAGTGTTGGACCTGCTGCCACCATCTCCTGGAGTCTTGGAGACAGGGACAGTGACAGTAGTACCAGTCAGCTCATGGAGGTGCAGGAGCAGGTAAAGGGAAAGAACAAATGAAAGGGTGCTTGGAACCAAAAATAGATACAGCAAAAATGAAAAAAAGGCCAGCAATCATTTGGATATAATTGCACACTCTGACATATGTTTTGGCTTGCAGGTGCAGGGGCAGCCTGAGCTCCATGCCAATGGCTCTGTGACGGTCCGTAGTGTGTTGAGGCTCCCCACTTCAATGTTCTCTGGTCAGAATGTCACCTGTGTGGCGGATCACCTGGGTCTTGAGATTCCAGAGAGAAGAGGGATACTGCTACGTGTACTGGGTAAGTTACTTTATGACTTGTAGCTATCATGTATCTCCACAATACATTATGTGCGTCCCCAATGACAACGTATTCCCCCTATAGGCCCTGTTCAAAAGTAATTCACTATAAAGGGAATAGGGTGTCATTTAGGGATGTATCCATTGTATCCAACCCCCACACACTGTCCCTCCCTCCCTCCCTCCCTCCCCTCAGATTCCCCTGTGATGCGTGTTTTTGTTGCGAGGCAGAGGGGATCTCCTCTGTGGCTGGCTGTGTGTGAGTACAGAGGGGACGGGCTCGGAGCACACCTCACCTGGGTTCTACCTGACAACACCACAGGCCACATCTCCTTCCGCTCTTGGTATGAAGGCGTGAGAGTGCTAACCAATCTCACCTATGAGTTCCCACTGGCCCTCCACGAGGGACAGGACCTGACCTGCCTCATTCAAAATCACCATGGACTTAAGGAGCGGAGGACAGTCCATGTCCCCAGATACTGTAAGTGTAATAGGGAATAAATAGAAACAGCAATGATTCTCTTTTTTTCTATAAAGCACCCAGCACCACAAAAGATCGTACTTGTTATACTACACATACATTCTAAATGTACACTCTTAGAAAAAAGGGTTCCAAAAGGGTTATTCTGCTGTCCCCATAGGAGAAGCCTTTTTGGTTCCAGGTAGAACTCTTTTTGGTTTCTTTGTGGAAAGGGTTGTTCATGGAACGCAAAAGGGTTTTTACCTGGAACCAAAAGGGTTCTACCTGGAACCAATAAGGGTTCTCCTATAGGGGCAGCCGAAGAACCCTTTTAGGTTCTAGATGGCACCTTTACTTCTAAGAGTGTACTGACAATTCTGTCATGACATTCATAGACATACAGTATTTGCCAGACATGCCAAGCTCCAACATCCCATTCAACAGTTAACTACAACTACCTGTCTATTGACTGTATGTATTTAGGGAGTGGTTTGTTTTTTGCCTCCTGTTGACCACTTTCCCTTCCCCTTCTTAGACATCTCATCTGTCAGAGTGCTGAACCAAACCACTCCCCTGTACAAACCTTATGGAGATGAGGTTGTCATACACCGAATGTCCCTAAAGGAGAATTTCCACAACCAGAGGATCCTGCTTAAGGTCAATGGCAATGTACCAACTTACAGCCTTACCTGTCACAGGTAATACTCTTTGCTAGACTCTCTTTTACTACTGTATTCCTTCCCTTCAGCTTCTGAACTGTGGAGGCTAATTGAAACAGCTACAGTAGGATGGAAGACAGAGTAGGGCAGGGCCCTGTCTGTGGTAATATTACCACCACACAGGGACGGTAATTTGTACAAACATTGTTCTTGTCCAGATGGAAGTTCTGATTTGTATTGTTTTATGAGAGCTTTTAACTAGACAATCAAATAAGTGCAGTGTCGTAAAGCTGCCATTATGCCTTAAGATACTATCAGGACTTCTGTGCTGTGGAGCCCGGAGAAGGTTGTCCTGACTGGCAGGCCATGCGGTCGGTGGCACTAAAGAACCCTTTTATCAGGGACAATGAGTGACTCATAAAGCAGGTCCTGACACTCTCCTGTCCTCCCATACACAGGCTCACATAAATTGTGTTAGGAGTTATTCTGTCAAGCTATTCTGTGTAAAGCTGTGTTCGTATCTGCAAAGGTGGATGATACAGTTACTTAGTTATACACTTAAGTAGATATACGAAATACGTCTCATTATATTTTTAACACTTAATGTCAACTATAGCAGTGGTTTTGTTTTCCACACCTTTTGGAAAGCAGTTTCCCCCCTCATTTGCTTATCTTATTCTCTCTTCATGATTGTCTTCGTTGCCACTTAGCTGATAAACAGATCAGACAAACGTGTATACTCTGTAATGACCTTCTGTTTCCTGCTGCGTGTTGAAGAAATGACGGCTCATTGGTCCAGATGGATGGCGAGGCTCTGTTGTTCCAATCAGAGGTCACAGAGCGGGAGGCGGGCCTCTACACCTGCCACGCCTCTTTCTACCACCATCAGGCCTCAGTCCTCATTCAAGTGGAGGTCACCAGTGAAAATCAACAGCTCAGTGAGTGTACACCAGTGGCAGTCAGTGTCGTTTAAGATGAGGGAGGATTATTTTTTTGTCATGAGCATGGCCTTATTTCTATTACAGCATATTGGATGACTCTCATTCATATTCCATTCACCCAGTTCAATGTAACATCGATAGGTTTAGGCTACTACATGATACTCAAATGTTCCCTATACCCATCATGAGGTTGCTACAACCTAGCCTATGAATTAAAGTTTAAACATAGGTGCACACAGGTCGAGAGACAAATTTGAGGTGACAGTGACATTCAATACCGCCTTGAACACTCTTGCCTGCATCTAGCTGATATAGGGTGTAATCATTAGTCCAACAGTTGCAAACGAGAGTTTCAGGTATGTTTATCCCCGTTTTGTTCCGTTTCCTTCCGTTTAAAAAACGTTTTTCAACAGAATCGACGTAATGAATACGCCTCTGATCACTTGTAAACAGAGTTCACTCTCATAAATGCCACGCTGTATTCCTTCTCTTCCCTTCACTTGTGGACTTCAATGCACAACACATCAGCTGTGTAACCATGCAAAAAAACTTTCCAAGCCAAACCGCTACACACAGCCTACAACGTTGTCACCATATTAGCTAAAGTAACGTCATAGTCAGCATAGCTAATAGAACTAACGAGTTAGTAAACCCGCTACAATCATGCAGTAACGTTCGTGTACAGTCAGTAAGCAGTTACACAACGGCGGGCCTCGTGGCAATAAATTAGTAATACCAAAAGCTTACCTTGACTTGGAAGTTCCAGTGTTGTGTTGGAAAGTCATAGCCAGCTAGCTAACATAGCATCCCTCGGTTTGAGCAGGGTGTTTCAGTAGGCTAAACTAGCTAGCTGCATTTGCTAGCTAAGTAGGTGAAACTGAAAGTTAAAAAAAAAATGACTCTCTCTATTTCTCTCTTGCTTCTCCTTCATTTTGGAAGAACTTAATTTGTTCAAAACTGTTAAACTATTGTCTTTCTCTCTCTTTGAGTCAACTACTCACCACATTTTATACACTGCAGTGCTAGCTAGCTGTAGCTTATGCTGTCAGTACTAGATTAATTATCTGATCCTTTGATTGGGTGGACAACATGTCAGTTCATGCTGCAAGAGCTCTGATAGGCTGGAGGACATCCTCTGGAAGTTGTCATAATTACTGTGTAAGTCTATGGAAGGGGGTGAGAACCATGAGCCTCCTAGGTTTTGTATTGAAGTCAATGTACCCAGAGGAGGACGGAAGCTAGCTGTCCTCCGGCTACACCATGGTGCTACCCTACAGAGTGCTGTTGAGGCTACTGTAGACCTTCTTTGCAAAATAGTATGTTTTAATCAGTTATTTGGTGAAGTGATTATATTTAGTATAGTTTTATCTAAAAATGCTAACTTTTTAAATGTTTAAAATATATATTTTTATGAAATTCACTGAGGAGGATGGTCCTCCCCTTCCTCCTCTGAGGAGCCTCCACTGGTGTACACTCACCTTATCATGCATCAGTGATACAACAATATGTAAGATATGTCAATGCTTTCTGGTGAACATCCCAAAATGGTTGGCATATTATAATTTGTATTTACTTCCATTTTGTGTTACCTGATGTCTTTCTCCTGTGTGTTTGTGCAGTTATGGTCTTCATCGTCTGCTTCTCCTCGGCTGCAGCCATCACGATCCTCCTCATCGTCACTCTGTGTGTTTTCTGGTGAGTCGATCAGAGCAAAGGCCTCCTCCTGCAGTTGACAGACAGACAGACAAACAGCATCTCAACAGGTGACATGTTTACAGGTAGGCTGCCGGCAACCAGCAGGTTGGCAGGTGACAAACAGGAAACCAGGTCTGTGTATCTGATGGTGACTACAGTTTAGCATGACCAAAGTAGCACAGAGCTATTCAAAAAACAGGATGCTCTGTGGCTGCAGCAGACAGTTACGTCTGCCACCACAGCTCTGCCAGACAACTCACACGGTCTGATTCTCTCTGTCTCTGTGGTAAAGACAGATTTATTTTCCATCTAATGTTATCATAGGGCAACTATAGAGCTATACTGAGTGACTACTCAGAAAGTAAGGTAAGCTATTCAAAAACTTCACAGCTGGAGAATTCATATTGTAATTCAATTCCAGTCGCAATGCTTGGAATGAGAAAAAAGCATAAAGCAGTTGTCTCTTTTTGCTGTCATTGGATCTGATCAGATAATCAGCCAGGTGTCTCACTACCATAGTGTTTGGATACACTTTGGGATCCCAAATGTCTCTAAAAGCATCTGATCCACAAATCCACTAATGTTCCATGAAAACTCTCCCACAGGGCTCTGGTCATAAGTAGTGCACTGTGTAGGGAATAGGGTGCCATTTGGGACGCACACTAACTTCCTCTTTGTCATGACTCATGTGAGAAGGGGTGGTAAATATATAGACACAGACACACTGACACACTTCAGTGTTAGTTCAGAGGCTGAATCATTGTGTCTTTGGTCAGTACATTTGGTCAAGGTGCCATTGGTGCGATGAGCATCACTGTCCCATTATCCCTGGTTCCTGTGGGAAGGTCCCATCAGGCTAATTTCGAAAGGTCAGTCAGTCGGACAGCATACACAGAGAAAACATGACTCCCCAGGAGAATAGCTATTCCGGGATATGCGTCACCCCCGGTCGCCAGCACTAGGAACACTTTCTGAAAAGAGCAGGTCTTCATTGGCCTGGTTGGTGTCATGGGGATCATGAGGGATGAGGAGAGCTACTGCTTCTGACATCAGAGAGATCAATGATGATGTCTGGGGTCACCATCATTCTGCTTATATATTCCCGTCGCATAATGCAGTCATAGTTCACACACTCAGTGGCTCATTGGAAGTCTGTTCACTCATACAACAGCGCATCCAAGGGGTGCAGTTTGGCCATGCAGGTAAGTTTGGCCATGCAACTTTCTTAGGGTGCGTTCGTAAATTCACTCTGGCTATCTACTCCGATTTCAGAGCACTCTCGTCTGAGTGTGGCAGATCGCAGTAAAACAGACTAATTTACGAATGCTCAACACTCATTGAATATGGCCGTTGTCGCAAAAAAGTATAATTAAATTGTTGCCAGCAGCAGTTACAGTCACCATTGCTCTGGATAACATAAACACAGCCTAACCAGCTCTGCTAGGGCGAATAAAATGGTCAGAGTGAGGTGTTCTCTCATTTGTGTCTGGAAGTAGCTAGCAAGCTAGCCAACCTTAGCCTGTTAGCTTGGGTACTTGACTGCTGTTGGGAGGCCAGAACGCTCGGATCAACCCTACTCCTCGGTCAGAGCGTCCAGTGTGTGCCAATCTGACAACGCTCTGAATTTACGAACGCCCAGAGGGCACTCTGGCACTCCAGATTGCATTTACAAACGCACCCTTAGTGAGGATGATACCCAACTGTATAAAAACAACAGAAGAATTAGACAATATTTGAAATGCTGTCTGTCACTGTAACTCAAATGACAATTAATTGTTCATTTGTTTTGCAGCAAAATAAATGGAGACCGCCCAGCACCTAAGGTCAGTCTTTCTTAGATTTTTTTTCTAACTTTGAGCTATCAAAAAAACAGTATGCATGCTTTGAATTATTGAGAATGGTCCTCTTGCCTTCATTCATCTATTCCTTTAGTTTCTATCTAGGTCTTTATTCAACATGCTTTGTCCCCCTGTCTCCTATCTTCACTGATCTGTCTCTGAACTCCTGTAAGCAGCGGGAGTCGCTGGCAGCCCTGACCTCTCTGACCCAGGACCTGTGCTCTCCAGAGCTGAGGAAGGGGAAGGCAGCAGTGACAGTACCAGGAGGAGGAGGAGGCCAGGAGTACAACCAGCTGCTCAGCTACTCTATTGTCATTGATGCCAGATCCACTGTGTAAACAACAGGTTGCATCCCCTACTGGCACCCTATTCCCTATATAGAGCACTTCTTGTGTATAGGGAATAGGGTTCCATTTGAGACTGATTTATTTTATTTGGTAGGTTAGAAAAAACATACTCACAGTACATGCATTTAAAAAACTTGACAGGGATATCACAAAAGTCAGAGACTTATTTCCATTGTGGTCCCTAATTCCATGGAGTCGTAAGTTTACATACACCTTAGCCAAATACATTTAAACTCAGTTTTTCACAATTCCTGACATTTAATCCTAGTAAAAATTCTGTTTTAGGTCAGTTAGGATCACCAATTTATTTTAAGAATGTGAAATGTCAGAATAATAGTAGAGAGAATTATTATCATTACATTCCCAGTGGGTCAGAAGTTTACATACACTCAATTAGTATTTGGTAGCATTGCCTTTAAATTGTTTAACTTGGGTCAAATGTTTCCGGTAGCCTTCCACAAGCTTCCCACAATAAGTTGGGTGAATTTTGGCCCATTCCTCCTGACAGAGATGGTGTAACTGAATCAGGTTTGTAGGCCTCCTTGCTCGCACACGCTTTTTCAGTTCTGCCCACACATTTTCTATAGGATTGAGGTCAGGGCTTTGTGATGGCCACTCCAATACCTTGACTTTGTTGTCCTTAAGCCATTTTGTCACAACTTTGGAAGTATGCTTGGGGTCATTGTCCATTTGGAAGACCCAATTGCGACCAAGCTTTAACTTCCTGACTGATGTCTTGAGATGTTGCTTCAATATATCCACATAATTTTCCTTCCTCATGATGCCATCTATTTTGTGAAATGCACCAGTCCCTCCTGCAGCAAAGCACCCCCACAGCATAATGCTGCCACCCCCGTGCTTCATGGTTGGGATGATGTTCTTCGGCTTGCAAGTTACCCCCTTCTCCCTCCAAACATTACATTTTTAAATTTTTGTCATTTAGCAGACGCTCTTATCCAGAGCGACTTACAGTTAAGTGAGTGCATACATTTTCATACTGGCCCCCCGTGGGAATCGAACCCACAACCCTGGCGTTGCAAACGCCATGCTCTATCAACTGAGCTACATCCCTGCCGGCCATTCCCTCCCCTACCCTGGACGACGCTGGCTAATTGTGCGCCGCCCAATGGGTCTCCGGTCGCGGCCAGCTACGACAGATGGTCATTATGGCCGAACAGTTCTATTTTTGTTTAATCAGGACAATTCTCCAAAAAGTACGATCTTTGTCCCCATGTGCAGTTGCAAACCCTAGTCTGGCTTTTTTATGGCGGTTTTGGAGCAGTGGTTTCTTCCTTGCTGAGCGGCCGTTCAGGTTATGTCGATATAGGACTCGTTTTACTGTGGATATAGATAATTATGTACCTGTTTCCTCCAGCATCTTCACAAGGTCCTTTGCTGTTGTTCTTGGATTGATTTGCACTTTTCGCACCAAAGTATGTTAATCTCTAGGAGACAGAACGCGTCTCCTTCCTGAGCGGTATGACGGCTGCGTGGTCCCAGGGTGTTTATACTTGCGTACTATTGTTTTTACAGATGAACATGGTACCTTCAGCCGTTTGGAAATTGCTCCCAAGGATGAACCAGACTTGTGGAGGTCTACCATTTTTTTCTGAGGTCTTGGCTGATTTCTTTAGATTTTCCCATGATGTCAAGCAAAGAGGCGCTGAGTTTGAAGGTAGGCCTTGAAATCCACAGGTACACCTCCAATTGACTCAAATGATGTCAATTAGACTATCAGAAGCTTCTAAAGCCATGACATCATTTTCTGGAATTTTGCAAGCTGTTTAAAGGCACAGTCAACTTAGTGTATGTAAACTTCTGACCCACTGGAATTGTGATACGGTGAATTATAAGTGAAATAATCTGTCTGTAAACAATTGTTGGAAAAATTACTTGTGTCATGCACAAAGTAGATGTCCTAACCAACTTGCCAAAACTATAGTTTGTTAACAAGAAATTTGTGGAGTGGTTGAAAAACGAGTTTCAATGACTCCATCCTAAGTGTATGTATACTTCCGACTTAAAATGTAGATACAGATACATTACGTAGATACAGACTCATTACATAGATACAGACATTTTTTTCCTTCTATTTCTCGATCATTAGCAAGCTTTTGACTTTAGACGCAACCACAGGCATATATGTCAGAGACCACTCAGATGGGTCTGGTGACCCAGCTACAGTATCTTGTGCATCACTCTTAGGGGATTCATGATGCAGCTTCTCCTAATGCCAGGTCATTAAAATGCATTATTTTGTGAATTTTTCATGATTTTTAGTTTTGTTTATTGGTGTATTTTTTTGTATTTCATGCATTGGTGTTTTCAATAATTGTAATGTGTTGTTAAGAAATGTATTGTATAACTGCTAGAAATTATGTTGATCGTAGCTTCTGTTTGTTTTACTGTTTTGTCTTATGCTAAACTTTGAAAGGTTATTCATTTTGGTTATCTAATGTTGTAAGATCCGGAGCATTATCATTAAAGTTACTGTAAATGTGTATCTTGTTGTTAAACCTGCCTTGTTTGACAGGTTTAAGAGTAAATTAACTGACACACATAAGTGTGCACACATACACACACACAGAGACACACACAGTCTTGTAGAACTAACCTTGTGGGGCCACACAATTAAGTCCCATTCAAAATCCTATTTTCCTTAACCCCTAACCCTAAACCTAACCTTAATCCTAACTTCAACCCCAAAACCTAACCTAACCTTAACCCTAAAACTAACCCTAGCTCCTAACCCTAAACCTAATTCTAACACTAATTCTAGCCTTAACCCTAAAACCCCTAGAAATAGCATTTGACCTTGTGGGGACTAACAAAATGTCCCCAGTTGGTCAACTTTTTGTTTGTTTACTATTGTTGAGTAGACTTCTGGTCCCCACAAGTAAAGTTAAACACGTCCAGACACACACACACACACACACACACAGACACAGTTAGAATGAAGTTCTTCGCACTAACCCTGAGGGTGTCCGGGAAATAAGACACTCCTAATAGAGCTCATCTCATCACTTGCAGAAGAGCAGTAATATTTATTCTCACCTTAGAGAATAAAGTAAATCAGGTTGGATCAGGATTTGCATAATTTCAATACAGACTGCACCTTGCTGTAATGAGTTTAATATAAATGTGTGATGTGGCAATTTTCTTTATACCGATGCTAGTAAGAAATGAGTGTCTTGTTTACCAATACTGGGGCAATTAACTAAATGTTATACTACTCTGGTTGTGAATAATGCCTTTTAAATCCTGGTATAGGGTTAGTCCATGTTAAATTGTATAAATTAAAGTTAACTAAAATGTATACGTCCATTCCTTATTATAGTGACTGCCAGGTTATGAATGTTATAGAAAACAGTGTGCCCTTTTTGTCCTGTGAGTTCAACATCAGTTATCACTTGCACAATTACCAAATCCTGTGCATAGTTGCATAAACTTGGATTATGAAAGCGTCACAAATAGTTCTGACTCTCTCTCTCCCTACCCCAAACTAAGACGTGGACCTTGACATCTTATTTTGAGCATTTATTCCTGCATTGACAAAAACAACATTTCACACTACTGGTAGTTTCTCCAATTACTTATTTAGCATCTTCTAGCGCCCTCTTGTGGAACATACGAGATCCCACAACATGGGCCATAGAAATTGACGTAGCGTCCCATGTAACAATGGGAACGAGACCTTGCTAATATTTTGCCGTGGACCAACTTCACGATATGAGAAAGTTTGAAAAGTTAGATAGCTAAGTTAGATAGCTAATAAAGCTAGTTAGCCCCTTTCCCATATAAATGTACAGTTCTATATTCATGCAAGCAGCCAGCTACCCAGCTAACAAAATTACGTTCCAGGACGTGACCACAAAGTTATTTTAGTCCCCACATAAGTCATAATAACGTTATTGTGAAACTTACAGACGATGTTCCAAAATGTATTTATATCATTCCGATTGTAACGTCGTATGAAGAGAAACTATAGCTCTAAATGTAGCGTTATGAAATGTTCCTGGGATATCTCCAAAATAACATGATATTCAGAAACTTTCATGGACTACCAAGTAACGTTTTTAATGTTCCCATGATGTCTGTATAGCGACGTGATCTTTATAACCTCTATAATACTTATTAGAAACGTTATGAAAGTGCCTATAATGTCCCAAACGGGCAATGACATTCAGTACCTCTGGAAGACTTAAGGGGAATGTTACAAATGTTCAGTTACGTTCCTTGTTAGCTGGGTACCGAGCTCGCTTCTTTCCAACTTTTTCCCCCAATAAGATCAACTTTTACACGCAGTGATTTCTTTTGCATTCTAGCCATAATTGCTAAATGTAACGTTAACTAACTAACAGTTAGGTAGCAAAGCTGTCAGAGGTATTTCCTGTTTTTGTTGCTTCTCTAATATCTTCTCTTGCCTAAAAAAAATTCAGCTGTCAAAGATAATGGAGGCCACAACAAAGTTTCTAGCCATAACTATATTTCTTCTGCTTCTGTCAATGTCTTCTTTATCTGCAAAATCTGACATCCCTTTAAATGAGAGGTTGTGCTCTTTGCCTCATTTATTGCAGGGAATATGAAGATGATCTCAGCAAATAATGGCTAAAGCTTGCAGTTTTGTGGCAGAACTAATGATACAAAACAACCTGCAATTATGCCTGCTCCAAAAAGAGATAGTCAACACAGGACCCGTGCAAGAAGCACAGCAAGGCCAAGGGATGGTTCCTGGATCACGGAGGGAGGAAAAAGGACCCTATCCCAGCAGCCAATGTGGCCTCTGTAGTCTCACTACCACCAGTGGAGTCTCAGGAGCACCATGCCTTCTCACCAGCCTTCATGTATGAGCCCCAGCCAGGTCGAGCCCTCAGCACTGGAAACCTCTCCCCTGCTCCCACTCCTCTGTCCATGGTGGAGCTCCCTCGCCTCGTGGCAGAGGGGGGTCTGGAGCTGGCCATGGAGGAGTCACTGTGGATGGAGGGACCTCGTCTGATTGCTTCAGCGCTGGGGACTGATATCCCTGTCAAAGCTACTCAGGTGTCATTCGAGGAATCTGCACTGGACAGGTAGGTTAAGCAGTGAGCATGTGTGTTTGCTGCTTCATTTCACTCTTGTGTTCAAATGTGACATTGGTCTTTCCAAAAAATTCAGGTAGAACACTTAGTATTGTGGTGTCCGTTGTTGGTTCAGCTTTACAGATCATGGAGACGTGTTCCGGGTAAAGACGGCTGATCAAGACAAAGAGACAGAAGCAGGAAAAGATGTCAAGCACAGAGAGAATCTTTGCAAAGAAAATACATCTGGGAAAGCTTCAGTTTTTCCACTTGCAAGCTGTGAACAATGGCCCTTTCAGGTAGTGAACACCATAATGTTATTACTTTTTTTTTTTTTTACAATAATAATGGAATAACAGTGGATTTGCCATTCTTCTGTAGCATTCACACTATTTTGCAGATACATTTTGCTCATTGTATGCATTTTCTTTTTTTTGTAGACCGTCCAATAGAGCAGGCACTGAGCATGTCATCTTCTCCCTCACCTCTGTGCTGCATGTGCAGGATGGATGCAGTTTTGGGCTCCTTTCTCTGGCAGAGTGGCATCAGGAGGCCGTACTGTGGAGAGCATTGCAGGATATCCCATTTTTCAGGGACTATTTACTTTGTAAGGCATTCATCAGGTAGGCTAAGATTGCATCCCAATTGGCAACCTATTCCCTACACAGTGCATTACTTTTGACCAGGGCTCATAGGGGACAGACTTTGGAACACATCCTAACTGTCCATATTTATTGCATCATGTCACTTTTTTGGCGTGTTGCAATTCTCTCTCTTGACTTAAATTATTTTATTTGTCAACTTTATGTTGCTGTTGTGTGTCGCAGGTGGCACAGAAGTGTGTGTAAGATCACACTGCAGAGGAAGTGTGAAGTACTGCAGGTCCTGCTACTCATGGCTGTACCCCTCTCTTTCAATTCTCCAGGTATTCTGCATCACATTATGGTTGCATCCCAAATGACATCCTACTCCCTATGTTGTGCACTACTTTTGACCAGGGCCCATAGGGGACACCCATAGGGCTCTGGTCAAAATAAGTGCACTATATAGGAAATAGGGTGCCATCTGGCATGCAGACAATAGATTTGTACATCAACATTACAGTCACATGTACATGAGTCCTTATTGTTCATTTTGTTCCATGATTAACATTGGAATGTTTTTTATTAGTGTTTTTTCATTTATGTGGAAATGCACACAATGTAAAAAACTAAATGTTGCTGTTTTCAGTCTGATTGAAGAACCACAGTCCACACAGCCAAGAGCTTGGCCTGTTGGCCTCCATCCCTCTCTCTAATGTGTATTTGTGTGTGTTTGCTGGTAATTGTATTAATATTTTTGATTCCATGATTCTCGACAGAGAGCAGCCACAGCAGGGGAGTCTGTTCCAAGTAGAGCTGATATTTGGAGCAGACGGTCAGCCGACCCTGTTCCCACCCATGCACTTGTTCCAGGAGGTGCTGCGAGGGGCACTGCTGTCAGTGGCAGACTCTGCCCTTCGGGTGAGATCATGTAATTAACCACACACTGAAGGATGGGCTCTGGTCAAAAGTGGTGCACTAAATAGGGAATAGGGTGCCATTTGGGATGCAGTCATTCGTTTAGGTCAAGGTTGTGATTAACTCATCACAGAATTCCCAGTTGCGTGTCCCAGCAAGTCTTACATACTAATGTGGTTTTGCTCTTGTAGGTATTTGGCACTCTCTTGATGCCAAGGACAGTGTGTATGCAGCACCTCCCTCACCAGTGCTGCTCAGAAGCTAAGCCCTGACCTGAACCTGGCCTGTACCAGTGGAACTAATTGTATCACAGGTAATGCTGGACAGGACAGGAGATTAGCTATCTTCCCAGTTGTACCACAGTCCATCTTTTGATAGAATATGTTGTTCATCCCATAACTGGGCTTGTCAAGGAAAAATGTCTAATTAATGGTAAACAGGAGTTAAAGCACTGGGGAAAAAACAGGCAGAGATATACATTTTCTTACGCTGATCGCCTGTGTTTGTATGTGCATGGTTCTCAGCTTTTGGGGAGAATGACAGTGAGCCGACTGGTGTCAGCAGCTTCTCCTCCAAGCGGGAGCCTCATTGTGTTCTATCAGCTCCCAGGCTGGTGCTGCCCAAGCTGACCCCTCTGATGGTCCAGGGACAGAGGCTGAGAGGGCAGTACTAGCCCCTGTCCAGGAAACAGCTGGAATGGCAGCTCAGCCTCAACGCTGGGGCTAAGGAGGTCCAGAGAGAGCAAGCCAGGATCACACGTCAATCACACTTTATTTTTAAACTATTTTCACTGAAAAGCTCTACAACGATGCACTAACTAACTATCCTTTCATCACGTTTGGTTTCTGAATCATGGAATGTTTGTTGATTCTCCCTTGACCCACTGGAGGCTGGGCTTGAGATCCAGCAGCTGTGTAAGGGTCACTCCTGGTTGGTTGACATCCATCTGTTCACCAGTCAATGGAGTCCAGCCTCTCTGGAGACCATGATGGGCATGCCTGCCTTACACCACGAGGAACACATTCAGAAGGTGCGCTCCTGGACTGACAGGGTGCGCACAGTGCCCCCGTCTCTCACCACCTTCAACAAGCTGCTCATCGTCAACTGCTCCCACATCCAGGAGAAGATAGGTTTGTGGGTGTGGCTGTGTGTGGCTGTGGGTGTGCTGCAAGACTTTAGGCCAATATAGTTACTGCATGTGTGTGATGTGTGTGTGAGTGTGTGACAGTGTTTTACTGGTATCACTGGGGACTTTTTGTAGTCTTGTTATCTGATTGTGCGGCTCTGCTCATCGGCACTGGTCAAAAGTAGTGCCCTATATAGGGAATAGTGTGCCATTTGGGAAGAATCCTGAATGTGTGGTTTTGTTTCTCCATGCAGGGCCTCTGTTGAACTCCATAGAGGAGGATGTGTTGACTCTGTTGATTGAGGAGCTGAAGCTGCGCTCAGAGAACTTGATATTAGAACTGAAGAGAGCTGTGGAAGGTCTTAGGCTGGAACCCACAGACTTCAACGACTTCACCCACTATGCCAGCATGGTATTGCCTACACATGCACCTTTCTGGAGTTATTGCTGTGTATGGTCATCTAATCATTATTTGCTTCCTTTAATCAATACTGTATATTTTATCGACCCCATTGGATTTCTTCCCTCAGGTGAAACACTGTGTGAAAATGTCTGATGACATGCAACAACAAATGGAGCACCTACACTCGCTCCAGGAAACCGTTCGCACCAACTACAGACAGATGACACCAGATGAGCTGTTATTGGAGGAACAGGTTAAACACATAGCTTTTGATTTGTCTGAATTATTTCTTTGTACCTATTTTGAGTCATCAGAAGAAGAGCTACCTTCAGATATTGTTTGTTTTGATTTATTCTGTGTTTAGATGGGAGCAGAGACAGTGTGCCAGCGTCTTCCCTCAATGGCTGACACCCTGGACAACACCTTCTTCTCCCTGGCCCACGGCCTGGAAAAGATAGTGACCAAAGCCACCTCTGGACCATATCTGGACCCCACTCAGAATGCAGTGCAGATGCTCAACAAGCTCAAGATCATGTGCAGACAGGTGTATGCTGTCTCTGCTCGCCTGACAGAGCTCAGCAGTACCAGTAAAAGTCTCAGAGGTGAAATGAGAGAGGGACTGAGGGAGGGTGCCTGCCCTGTGGTTACATTGCTCCTTCCTCACTCTCTTATCTGTGTCCCCTCTGTAGGAAACCCTCTGGATTTGACTTTTGTAACAGAAGCCAGGCAGAAGATGGAAGCTCGCAAAGGGCTGTGGGAGCTGATTTTTTATTTATTTTTATTTTATTTCACCTTTATTTAACCAGGTAAACCAGTTGAGAACAAGTTCTCATTTACAACTGCGACCTGGCCAAGATAAAGCAAAGCAGTGCGATAAAAACAACAACACAGAGTTACATATGGGGTAAAACAAAACAAAGTCAAAAATACAACAGAAATACATATATATACAGTGTGTGCAAATTTAGCAAGTTATGGAGGTAAGGCAATAAAATAGGCTATAGTGCAAAATAATTACAATTAGTATTAACACTGGAATGATAGATGTGCAAGAGATGATGTGCAAATAGAGATACTGGGGTACAAATGAGCAAAATAAATAACAATATAGGGATGAGGTAGTTGGGCGGGCTAATTTCAGATGGGCTGTGTACAGGTGCAGTGATCGGTAAGGTGCTCTGACAACTGATGCTTAAAGTTAGTGAGGGAGATAAGTGTCTCCAGCTTCAGAGATTTTTGCAATTTGTTCCAGTCATTGGCAGCAGAGAACTGGAAGGAATTGCGGCCAAAGGAGGTGTTGGCTTTGGGGATGACCAGTGAGATATACCCGCTGGAGCGCAGACTACGGGTGGGTGTTGCTATGGTGACCAATGAGCTAAGATAAGGCGGGGATTTGCCTAGCAGTGATTTATAGATGGCCTGGAGCCAGTGGGTTTGGCGACGAATATGTAGTGAGGACCAGCCAACAAGAGCGTACAGGTCACAGTGGTGGGTATTATATGGGGCTTTGGAGACAAAACGGATGGCACTGTGATAGACTACATCCAATTTGCTGAGTAGAGTGTTGGAGGCTATTTTGTAAATGACATCGCCGAAGTCAAGGATCAGTAGGATAGTCAGTTTTACGAAGGGCATGTTTGGCAGCATGAGTGAAGGAGGCTTTGTTGCGAAATAGGAAACCGATTCTAGATTTAACTTTGGATTGGAGATTCTTAATGTGAGTCTGGAAGGAGAGTTTACAGTCTAACCAGACACCTAGATATTTGTAGTTGTCCACATACTCTAGGTCAGACCCGTCGAGAGTAGTGATTACTGTTTCCACCGCCCAGATCCAAGAGTGGAGGCTGTTGCTCTTCAGCATGGTGTCTGGTTGCTCTATTCTCTATTCTAATAGCCTCTCTGTTGATCAACAACATAATAATACGTGACAACAGGTACCTAGTATGCTTATTGAATATGATATGGGAAGGACTCATATTTTCATCTACTGTTAATTTGATGTTAATGTGAGTCTACTTGCAAGAATTATGTGTTCGTTTTTTCCGACTGTAAGTTGATCTGAATAAGAGCGTCTGCTAAATGAAAAAAGTAAAAAATATATATATAAATGTTTGGTGTCAGTTTGTTGTGTCGAGAGCCCAGGAGAAAGTGGATGAGTGGCTGCAGCAGGCAGCATCTAATCATTATTTGCTTCCTTTAATCAATACTGTATATTTTATCGACCCCATTGGATTTCTTCCCTCAGGTGAAACACTGTGTGAAAATGTCTGATGACATGCAACAACAAATGGAGCACCTACACTCGCTCCAGGAAACCGTTCGCACCAACTACAGACAGATGACACCAGATGAGCTGTTATTGGAGGAACAGGTTAAACACATAGCTTTTGATTTGTCTGAATTATTTCTTTGTACCTATTTTGAGTCATCAGAAGAAGAGCTACCTTCAGATATTGTTTGTTTTGATTTATTCTGTGTTTAGATGGGAGCAGAGACAGTGTGCCAGCGTCTTCCCTCAATGGCTGACACCCTGGACAACACCTTCTTCTCCCTGGCCCACGGCCTGGAAAAGATAGTGACCAAAGCCACCTCTGGACCATATCTGGACCCCACTCAGAATGCAGTGCAGATGCTCAACAAGCTCAAGATCATGTGCAGACAGGTGTATGCTGTCTCTGCTCGCCTGACAGAGCTCAGCAGTACCAGTAAAAGTCTCAGAGGTGAAATGAGAGAGGGACTGAGGGAGGGTGCCTGCCCTGTGGTTACATTGCTCCTTCCTCACTCTCTTATCTGTGTCCCCTCTGTAGGAAACCCTCTGGATTTGACTTTTGTAACAGAAGCCAGGCAGAAGATGGAAGCTCGCAAAGGGCTGTGGGAGCTGATTTTTTATTTATTTTTATTTTATTTCACCTTTATTTAACCAGGTAAACCAGTTGAGAACAAGTTCTCATTTACAACTGCGACCTGGCCAAGATAAAGCAAAGCAGTGCGATAAAAACAACAACACAGAGTTACATATGGGGTAAAACAAAACAAAGTCAAAAATACAACAGAAATACATATATATACAGTGTGTGCAAATTTAGCAAGTTATGGAGGTAAGGCAATAAAATAGGCTATAGTGCAAAATAATTACAATTAGTATTAACACTGGAATGATAGATGTGCAAGAGATGATGTGCAAATAGAGATACTGGGGTACAAATGAGCAAAATAAATAACAATATAGGGATGAGGTAGTTGGGCGGGCTAATTTCAGATGGGCTGTGTACAGGTGCAGTGATCGGTAAGGTGCTCTGACAACTGATGCTTAAAGTTAGTGAGGGAGATAAGTGTCTCCAGCTTCAGAGATTTTTGCAATTTGTTCCAGTCATTGGCAGCAGAGAACTGGAAGGAATTGCGGCCAAAGGAGGTGTTGGCTTTGGGGATGACCAGTGAGATATACCCGCTGGAGCGCAGACTACGGGTGGGTGTTGCTATGGTGACCAATGAGCTAAGATAAGGCGGGGATTTGCCTAGCAGTGATTTATAGATGGCCTGGAGCCAGTGGGTTTGGCGACGAATATGTAGTGAGGACCAGCCAACAAGAGCGTACAGGTCACAGTGGTGGGTATTATATGGGGCTTTGGAGACAAAACGGATGGCACTGTGATAGACTACATCCAATTTGCTGAGTAGAGTGTTGGAGGCTATTTTGTAAATGACATCGCCGAAGTCAAGGATCAGTAGGATAGTCAGTTTTACGAAGGGCATGTTTGGCAGCATGAGTGAAGGAGGCTTTGTTGCGAAATAGGAAACCGATTCTAGATTTAACTTTGGATTGGAGATTCTTAATGTGAGTCTGGAAGGAGAGTTTACAGTCTAACCAGACACCTAGATATTTGTAGTTGTCCACATACTCTAGGTCAGACCCGTCGAGAGTAGTGATTACTGTTTCCACCGCCCAGATCCAAGAGTGGAGGCTGTTGCTCTTCAGCATGGTGTCTGGTTGCTCTATTCTCTATTCTAATAGCCTCTCTGTTGATCAACAACATAATAATACGTGACAACAGGTACCTAGTATGCTTATTGAATATGATATGGGAAGGACTCATATTTTCATCTACTGTTAATTTGATGTTAATGTGAGTCTACTTGCAAGAATTATGTGTTCGTTTTTTCCGACTGTAAGTTGATCTGAATAAGAGCGTCTGCTAAATGAAAAAAGTAAAAAATATATATATAAATGTTTGGTGTCAGTTTGTTGTGTCGAGAGCCCAGGAGAAAGTGGATGAGTGGCTGCAGCAGGCAGCATCTAATCATTATTTGCTTCCTTTAATCAATACTGTATATTTTATCGACCCCATTGGATTTCTTCCCTCAGGTGAAACACTGTGTGAAAATGTCTGATGACATGCAACAACAAATGGAGCACCTACACTCGCTCCAGGAAACCGTTCGCACCAACTACAGACAGATGACACCAGATGAGCTGTTATTGGAGGAACAGGTTAAACACATAGCTTTTGATTTGTCTGAATTATTTCTTTGTACCTATTTTGAGTCATCAGAAGAAGAGCTACCTTCAGATATTGTTTGTTTTGATTTATTCTGTGTTTAGATGGGAGCAGAGACAGTGTGCCAGCGTCTTCCCTCAATGGCTGACACCCTGGACAACACCTTCTTCTCCCTGGCCCACGGCCTGGAAAAGATAGTGACCAAAGCCACCTCTGGACCATATCTGGACCCCACTCAGAATGCAGTGCAGATGCTCAACAAGCTCAAGATCATGTGCAGACAGGTGTATGCTGTCTCTGCTCGCCTGACAGAGCTCAGCAGTACCAGTAAAAGTCTCAGAGGTGAAATGAGAGAGGGACTGAGGGAGGGTGCCTGCCCTGTGGTTACATTGCTCCTTCCTCACTCTCTTATCTGTGTCCCCTCTGTAGGAAACCCTCTGGATTTGACTTTTGTAACAGAAGCCAGGCAGAAGATGGAAGCTCGCAAAGGGCTGTGGGAGCTGATTTTTTATTTATTTTTATTTTATTTCACCTTTATTTAACCAGGTAAACCAGTTGAGAACAAGTTCTCATTTACAACTGCGACCTGGCCAAGATAAAGCAAAGCAGTGCGATAAAAACAACAACACAGAGTTACATATGGGGTAAAACAAAACAAAGTCAAAAATACAACAGAAATACATATATATACAGTGTGTGCAAATTTAGCAAGTTATGGAGGTAAGGCAATAAAATAGGCTATAGTGCAAAATAATTACAATTAGTATTAACACTGGAATGATAGATGTGCAAGAGATGATGTGCAAATAGAGATACTGGGGTACAAATGAGCAAAATAAATAACAATATAGGGATGAGGTAGTTGGGCGGGCTAATTTCAGATGGGCTGTGTACAGGTGCAGTGATCGGTAAGGTGCTCTGACAACTGATGCTTAAAGTTAGTGAGGGAGATAAGTGTCTCCAGCTTCAGAGATTTTTGCAATTTGTTCCAGTCATTGGCAGCAGAGAACTGGAAGGAATTGCGGCCAAAGGAGGTGTTGGCTTTGGGGATGACCAGTGAGATATACCCGCTGGAGCGCAGACTACGGGTGGGTGTTGCTATGGTGACCAATGAGCTAAGATAAGGCGGGGATTTGCCTAGCAGTGATTTATAGATGGCCTGGAGCCAGTGGGTTTGGCGACGAATATGTAGTGAGGACCAGCCAACAAGAGCGTACAGGTCACAGTGGTGGGTATTATATGGGGCTTTGGAGACAAAACGGATGGCACTGTGATAGACTACATCCAATTTGCTGAGTAGAGTGTTGGAGGCTATTTTGTAAATGACATCGCCGAAGTCAAGGATCAGTAGGATAGTCAGTTTTACGAAGGGCATGTTTGGCAGCATGAGTGAAGGAGGCTTTGTTGCGAAATAGGAAACCGATTCTAGATTTAACTTTGGATTGGAGATTCTTAATGTGAGTCTGGAAGGAGAGTTTACAGTCTAACCAGACACCTAGATATTTGTAGTTGTCCACATACTCTAGGTCAGACCCGTCGAGAGTAGTGATTACTGTTTCCACCGCCCAGATCCAAGAGTGGAGGCTGTTGCTCTTCAGCATGGTGTCTGGTTGCTCTATTCTCTATTCTAATAGCCTCTCTGTTGATCAACAACATAATAATACGTGACAACAGGTACCTAGTATGCTTATTGAATATGATATGGGAAGGACTCATATTTTCATCTACTGTTAATTTGATGTTAATGTGAGTCTACTTGCAAGAATTATGTGTTCGTTTTTTCCGACTGTAAGTTGATCTGAATAAGAGCGTCTGCTAAATGAAAAAAGTAAAAAATATATATATAAATGTTTGGTGTCAGTTTGTTGTGTCGAGAGCCCAGGAGAAAGTGGATGAGTGGCTGCAGCAGGCGGTATCCCTGGCCAGGACCATCCCTTCCCGAGATGCTGTGCTGCAGGAGACCCTGGGGATCCTTGGGCGTTTCAACCAGCAGCTCCCTGTGCTGGCCAAACTCAGCAGCCCCACACTCAAACACAAACACTGGAGGAACATCTTCAAAAGTTAAACCAGTGCTTCCGTAGTAGTGTGGCATAGTAACAAATCGCCACCTCAGGACCCATGCAACCTCCGCAGTTTAAAGCTCATTTCCTGCAATTGTGATATCTGAGTGACTCAAACATTACAACAAAATCAATGGGCTGAAAAAACCTAGCTAAAAAACGTTAGCTGACATGGGCTGGTTGATCAACTGGACATTTCTGACAAGTTATAAATAGCTCTCTAAGGTCTGCAATGACTGACATGACAAGAGGAAAACTGCTGATGCACTACCCAATGTCAAAATTGCACCTTGTGCATTCTACTATTACAACTTTCAAGAGTAAGTTGAAAGCCCGACTGAGTTCCGGAATTTGAAAAGCCTGACTGAGTCCATCCCCCGGGTTAGACAGTGAGCAGTGGGTGCTAATGAGAGACCTGGGAGGTGTCCCAAATGGCACCCTATTCCCTATATACATTGAGTGTACAAAACATTAAGAAGACCTGCTCTTTCCATGACATAGACTGACCAAGTGAATCCAGGTGAAAGCTATGATCCCTTATTGATGTCACTTGTTAAATTCAACACCTTGTAGAGTCCATGCCCGATGAATTGAGGCTGTTCTAAAAGGCAAAAGTGGGGGTGCAACTCAATATTAGGAAGGTGTTCTTAATGTTTTGTGTACTCAGTGTATATCTCTGTATTATGCGTGGGAAAACTTTGGAACAGATTTCCAAAATTAAAATCACGTGGAGCTGATTTGCTGGTGTTTTTACGACGACGACATGTCCCCCCTGTCCCTAGTGAAAGTTGCGCCCCTGAACACAACTCACATCTTACTGATTGCACATAACTGCTGATTGGGACTGTTTGATTGCCAGGTTCACCATACAAAATGTTTTTGGTAGTTCTGCTTTAAACAGTCACACCATTCGCTTTTTCGCTATGTTTGTTATAGCTAATTTCTAAAGATAAATATTGACATATTACATTTACGTCATTTAGCAGACGCTCTTATCCAGAGCGACTTACAAATTGGTGCATTCACCTTATAGCCAGTGGGATAACCACTTTACAATGTTTTAAAAAACATGGGGGGGTAGAAGGATTACTTTATCCTATCCCAGGTATTCCTTAAAGAGGTGGGGTTTCAAATGTCTCCGGAAGGTGGTGAGTGATTCCGCTGTCCTGGCGTTGGGGTGCCAGAGCAGCGAACAGTTTTGACTGGGCTGAGCGGGACCTATGCTTCCGCAGAGGTAGGGGAGCCAGCAGGCCAGAGGTGGATGAACGCAATGCCCTCGTTTGGGTGTAGGGACTGATCAGAGCCTGAAGGTACAGAGGTGCCGTTCCCCTCACAGCTCCGTAGGCAAGCACCATGGTCTTGTAGCAGATGCGAGCTTCAACTGGAAGCCAGTGGAGTGTGCGGAGGAGCGGGGTGACGTGAGAGAACTTGGGAAGGTTGAACACCAGACGGGCTGCGGCATTCTGGATGAGTTGTAGCTCAAAACACTTTAATCTGCTATATGACAAATTAATCAGTGGGTGATGAGGATTTCAGATAAAAGTGGGGGGACAAGAACATAAATTGCCCCCCCCCCCCTAATCTGATAGTGGTACATGCTCAGTCTGCCCTATGGCTCAGCTCACACACTACATCACTACATCATATACAAACACACACACACTAGCCTTGTGGGGACACAATTGATTCCCATTCAACCTTAACCCCAAAATCTAACCTTAACGCCAACCCTAACTCCTAACCCTGAACCTAACCTTTAACACTAATTCTAACCCTAACTGCCTGTCAGACAGCCTCCCAGAAGCTGCAGGCTGAGATCATGGAGCTGAGCCTGGAGCTGGAGCGCCACAAGCCCCTCCTGGCTGACTTCCAGGCCTTGCAGGAAGTGGCACACTTCTCCCCCTTCTACTTGTTCCCCCTGAGGAACGTCCTGTTCGCTGTGAGGAGGACGTTACTCCTGAAGGGCCGGCCGTATGTCACCTTTAGTGGAGAGGTAGTGACAGGGGCGGTCATGGCAGAGATCACACATAGGATGGTATCTCACCTGTTGGCCCAGTACTGGCCCTGCCCGTTCCAGAGCCATGCCACCCTGCTGAGGCTCCTGGTGTCTGTGGGTCTGTTCCTGCACATGAGGGCTGCTCAGAGGTGGAGTGGTTGGCTTTCCTCAGGAGCCTAGGAGATATGGACCTCCCTGTAGATGCTTCCACACCAGCCTTACCTCCACCCTCTACCTCTCCATCTCAGCATCATGTGCTCCCCAGCTGGGTGTCTCCTCACACCCACACAGAGCTCCTCCGGCTGCAAAACATCCCAGCCTTCACAGGGCTGCTCTCATCCCTGGCCATCTCTCCCAGTCAGTGTCAGGAGTCCCTGCGCTTCCCCTCCACCACAGTGGCGGGGCCTGTCCCCTGTCACTCTCACCTGTCCACCCTGCAGAGGGCTCTCCTCTGGAAGACTATGAGGGCTCTCCCACTGGCTGGCTGCCGTGGCTGAGGACCTGGCTGCCTGTCATCTGGGCCAGCCCTTGCGGTCAGCAGTGGCTGGGGCCCCTCACACCGGCTCCCCAGAGGCCCTCTCCCGCTTCCTGAACAAACATGAGGGGCCAGTCATAGTCACGCTCCCAGGCCCAAGCAGAGATGGATGGGCTAGCATCCAACCACTTCACTGGCTGAAACAAGTGACCCAGTACCAAGCTGACAAAAGAGGGGTAATGCTTGTCTTACATACACACAAACATACCTTCCCACTGAGCACACACTGGTTGAATTTCCACGTAATTTAAATGGAATTATGTTGAATCAACGTGAAATAGATGTTAAATTGACGTCTGTGACCAGTTGGTTTTGTGTTCATTTTAAATCAGATTGCCATTATATCAAACATTCCAGTTTTGTGTAATAATCTTCTAAATGACTGGTGAAAGTTTTTTGGAGCTAAATGCCAGAAGGAGGCCATCCTCTCAGCACTGAAGATAGCTGTTCAAGATGGCCATTGGTTGGTCTTTAACAACTATCATCTGTTGGACAAATGGGATGACGAAGTGTTGTCAACTCAATCAGTTGATAACTTGTATAGCCAAAGGTGAGAATCACAATAATAATCACCAATCTCATCCACCCTGTGTAATCTTAAAATATGTAATCTCATATTTAATCCTATTATAATTCTCAGGGCACCAAATAGATGTGGAGACAGAGGGCCTCATTCCAGTTGGGCTGTGTGCGAGGATACACCCCACTCTCGATCCCATGTACTCATATTTCCACCACTCAATTCAACATATTATCACAGAAACCTCTTTTTCTATGAATGTTAAGTGTTAGGTTGCATCCCAAATGACACACTATACAACATGTATTGTGAACTACTTTTGACCAGAGCTCTATGGACACCTGGTCTAAGATTAAGGCCTCTATTCAATCTATATCGCAGAAGGTCTGCGCAAAAGCCCAATTTAAAGGCAATGTTCCCGCGTTAGCGGAGACTGCATTCACGGTAAACGCTGCATATGGAGGGTCAATCGGAAATTACCTTTACATTTCTATCACACTGGGTGCCTGTAGAGCAGTTGCTGTGGGGGGTTAAGTGGAGGTTAAGTGCCTTGCTCAAGGTCACAACGGCAGGCAATGGCATCTAGGATTTGATACCAGCAACCCTCCGGTTGCCAGTTTACTTCCCGGCAGATTTTTTCAATCAGACCTGGGACTCGAACTGGCATCCCTTCGGTTGCTGGCTCGCCTCTCTAATCATTACCTGGCGCCCCAAAGGTAGTGCACTATGTAGGGAAGAGGGTGCTATTTGGGATGCATGTCCAAGACATAAATACTATATGGACTCTATAGGGTGCCATTTGGAACTAATTCTCCTCTCCCCACTGGCAGCGTCGATGAGAGTGTGTGCTCTGCGTCTGGTCTGTGACTCTCCCTTGGATGTGGAGGAGGAGCTGTGCTCTTCTCTGTGTCAGGTTGTGTCTGTTACTCGGTCTGCCCCAACCTCTGGTGTCACAACCTGCACCATTGAACCCCTGCTATGCGCTGCCATCCTCGACTCTGTCCTGCGACAGACAAGTGTCCTGTTTATTTTTACTATTTTCTACATTGTAGAATAATAGTGAAGACATCAAAACTATGAAATAACACATATGGAATGATGTAGTAACCCAAAACGTTTTTTGAGATTCTTCAAATAGCCACCCTTTGCCTTGATGACAGCTTGCACTCTTGGCATTCTCTCAACCAGCTGGAATGTTTTTCCAACAGGCTTGAAGGAGTGCCCACATATGCTTAGCACTTTTGGCTGCTTTTCCTTCACTCTGCAGTCCGACTCATCCCAAACCATCTCAATTGAGTTGAGGTCGGGGGATTGTGGAGGCCAGGTCATCTGATGCAGCACTCCATCACTCTCCTTCTTGGTAAAATAGCCCTTACACAGCCTGGAGGTGTAAGGGCTATCTTCAGTATACCCCCCCCCCCCCCCCCCCCCGTCTGTCTTCACTATTATTATACAATGTAAAACATTTTAAAAAATAAAGGAAAACCCTTGAATTAGTAGGTGTGTCCAAACTTTTGACTGGTAGTGTATGTACTACATAAAATATTATAACTCATATCCTATGAATTTGAAGTACATTACCCTACTTACATTTCTTTGACTGTCTTTTGCCATCTCTGCAGACGTTTCAGGCCTGCTGCAAAGCCTGGAGCAACGTGTTCAGGCTTTGGCCAACACCAGCGACCCCTTGTCGTTGGGCTTTAGTGCTGGTTCGGCAGGAGAGCTGGTGAAGGTTCACAGCCGCACCCTGAACACCCTGCTTCAAGACTCCCAGAAGCCCTTTGGCAGGGTCAGGAGCACCAACGAGCTGACCCACCCTGCTCTGCTGCCAGACTTCACCCAGGCCCGGGACTGACTACTGGTCCTGAAGGACAGCCTGGGATGCAAGGATGACATCAGGGTCGTGAGTGTAGGAGCTCCATCCCTGGGCCCCTACGCAACTTCCTCCAGGCAGAGTGGGACGGCAGAGTGGTTTCCTCCCTGCACTTTGAGCTCAACCAGTCCACGCGAAACAGCAAGCCTACCATCTCCTCTCTCCTGACTCTCTCAAGCCTGTTCCGCCTAGAGAGGAGAGCAGTGCTGCTCAAGGCGTACCCATGTGATGAGGCCACCAGTGGTCCATCCAATGCCTACCGCCTGTCTGCCTTCTCCAACGCCAGGGGCTTTCAGGGCACGTTAATCAGGGAGGCTGCCAATGCTAAGCAGAGGGACATCAGCAACATCTTCCCCTGAGCGGTGTGTACTAGAACTGAGAAGGGCACTGTGGGATACATGGTTAGGAGCCCTGCAGGACACGCTCTCTCCCCAGCCCTGCCTGCTCCCCCTCCTCTGGGTCAGAGCAAGGGCGAGGAACACAGACACTGTCCGAGCCCCAGACAGCCCCCCCGGCAACACCTCCTCCCTGCCCCTCTACCACTGTGCCCTCTATCTAGACAAAGAGCATGGGGACAGTAGATACTGGGAACTGGCTGAGAATAACATTGTCACCCGTGTCCCTCTAGTGGCCAAGCTAGATCCTGTGCTATGTACACTGAGAAGAGTGAGGCTTGTGAGTACCCTTTGAGACTAGACTGCAGAATGCAATGCAGCGATTATGCTGAAGCACTTATTTCTAGACTCAAGGTTTTTACAACCAACTTTATATAATACATCTTCTAAGAATGTTTCTTCTTGCTTTACAAATCTTAAATTATTGTGCATGATAAGATTTAATGCAATACATTTATTTTTTGATTTAATAAAAAAGATAACCAATGATGTCAACAACTTTTGAACATGTTTTGTCTTTGAAACAGACATTTGAAAGCCCACAAAAGGTTATTGACAATATCAACAATCCTTGATACATTGTTTGGGGGTCAAAACCACCAGTTTATCTATGAAAGTTATTTTCATATTTACAGTTACATCCAGCAGAAGATACATTTTCTGTTGCTGTCTATCCTGCTTGACTTCTCTCCTGGGGGGAGAACTGTTTCTCCCATGTTCTCATCACTGTTGCCCTCATCGTTTCTTGTACAAACAAGGCCTCAGCTCCAGTCCTCCTGCCTTCTTTACCCTATCTGGAGCTTCTGCGATCTTCTCAAACTCAAAGGAGTAAAAGTGGCTATTCTCTGTGTCCTAAGGAGGAAGCAAAATGAATACGGTAGGTTATTGTAACAATGCATTTCTTAAAGCCAAAGACAAAAACATGGCCATTACTGTTTACTATGATTACAGCCTTACCTTTGTGACCAACTTGAATCCCAGGCTGGACAAAGCACCCATGAAGTTCCGCACATTCTCAAATCTACTTGCCACCTCTGCAATTTTCAGGATACCCCTGCAAAAAATTACAGTGTTTAATAATGATAATGATTACATAAATAGGGAAAATAAATGGGAACACCTACTCCAGCATATTGACATAACTGTAGCTCTGTTTTTCTGCATAATATCTCTTACCCCATCACCAGCACACGGTTAGCCTCAACTAGAAAATCCCCAAGGTTGGTCCCCATAAGAGAGAGACAGAATACAGCTATGTCCACAGTGCCATCCTTGAGCGGTATCTGCAGACAGATGGGACAAAATATATCATTATTACATAAAAAACACAGACTGCATAGTAAACAGGCACGGATGAAAGAACAGATTGAGGATCAAGGTAAAGTTGGACTCACATTAGCCATGTCGCAGACAGTTACACGGTCACAGATAGGTGCCAAGTCAAAACTGTGCACTTTGTTCTTCACACTAAGAGCGATTTTGCAGTCGCCACAGCCGAAATCTGCCACCACCAGAGAGGCAGGCCTGGAATCAACACAAATGGTCTTACAAAGAAAGCCACACACTATTTCAATGTGGATCCCCCACCCCAGAACCAATACAGGAAAAATACAAAAACTATGAAAACAGCCATTTTAAATACTGCAAGTACGTTAGTCAGATAAAAGCATAACACAACTCACTTGTGGCGTATGTAGGAGATGATGGCGTCGACAGGATTAGCTGGCCAGTGCTGTACCTGTGCCGTGAAGCCCCTGTGGTAGATGCTAAAAGCCTGGGGGTCCTGTCTGAACATGCGTTTAGCCTCCCCACTAGACGTGGTATACAGAACCTCGTTAATATAACGGAACCGTGCTGACTCCAAACGCTGCTCCATGCGGGACCTCAGAGCAGCCGAGCGGTCTGCAGGAGCCTCTTTCACCTCCTCTGTGGTGCGCATCTCCTCCTCCTGCTCTGCAGGTTGCTCTTTCTTTTCCGGGCTCTGGCCATGCAGCATTCTCCTGAGCTTCTCTCTCCTACGGTCCTGCCCTTTGCTCGCCTCCCGTTTCCTTCTCTTACTGCCAGACGGCTCCGGGTGCTGCTCCACCCTAACCACCTCCTGAGGTTTCTCCTCTTCCGTCTTTAACTCTTTACCTGGGGGTTTAGAGTTACCTAGTGGGACTGCTTTTACTTGACTGCCCCCCTTTGTCTTTTTCTCTGAAAAGTTCTTATTGTTTTGGACTATTTCTGTGCCTGGAGTGGAAGCAGTCTCAGTGAAAGTCATCCCTTTTCCCTCTGGGACCTTTTTCCTTTTCTGTGTTTTACACTCACCCTCTTTCTCCTGTTTGTTTTTCTTTGTCTGGCGTTGCTGTGTCTGGACAACCGCTGTTTCCCTGTTCACATCAGAAGCTGCTTTTGGTCCATCTTCTGTATCCTTTTGCACAGTGGTCACTGCTTTTGTGGTTTTTGGGGGTGTGGTATTCTCTCCTTTTTGAATTTTGAATTTGTTTTGACATTTCTTCTTGTTCTTCATCTTGTTTTTCCATTGCTTTCGGTTTAATCTCTCAATCTCAGCATCTGCTGCAGCTTTTCCTTCATCCTTGATAGATTTTGAATCTTGTTTACTAGCACCCTGAATGGACTCTGTATTTTTTAGCTTTTTGAACACTAGGAAAATGAGAAAGAAAAACTCAAACATCTTTTCAACTTAAGACAATCAATTGACAGTTGTGCTTGTGAAACAACTCACCTGCTTTTATTGGCTTCTTAGCTAAAGGCACTGCAGCCTCCTTGGCACCCAGATCTCCACTGTCTTTCTCAGTATCTTCTCCTGAAGCAGCTACTCTCTTGCGTCCTCTTTTGCTTCTTTTCTTCTTCCTCTTGGTGTGTGGTGTCAGTATGGCCTCTGTTTCACTGTCACTGCCTGCTTCCCGAGGGGCACCATTGCTCTTGCTCCAGTTTGGTACTGACCCCAGTGTTTGGAGGGTCCGTAACAAACTCTTCTTCTTCCCAACACTTTTCTGTTCGAAAAAGCAGAATGACAGTGTCAAACTGAATACCAGTGTAAACCAGAATTCAACCCTCTATTTGAATTTGTGGTCACTGGCAGCATGAGTTATGCCTGGCTTGCTAGCTACATAGGTACATTTAATTATAAAGAAGATTGAGATGGCATCTCACCGTGATATTGGTACTGCCAGACAGTTTGAAACTGCTGATGACAGTCTTGGTCAGAGCTTTGGCTTCTGGGTCATCGTTCCACTCATCCTCCTCAGCGAACATGCTTGACCAGCACTGTAACTGTAATGCATTAAGTGAGCAAGTAAACAAGAACGCACGTCTATTAGAATAAGTGGTCTCTAGACTAGTTTGATGCTTTTCGGTACTGGCAGTAGATTCCAGAAAAGCTTAAATCAACGCTAACCTGCTTCTTGATTGAACAAGCTAATGTAACTAGCTAGCCTTAGCTAGCGTTTCAGACATTACAGTATTTGGCGGCCATACGTCAAAACGGCTAGCAACATTCATTCCATTGCAGAGACGACAACTTCACTCACCTGTCAGATGACTTATCAACATGAGATGTTAACGGACTTAATTGAATCGATCAAATGTGTAGGTTTAGAAGGTAACCGGTGGATATTGCCAATTTCTGTTAAGCCACGTTTGGCTCGCGCATGGACCAAAACAAGCGCATGTGAATGACGCCTCTCCCGCAACGGATGGTGGGACATGAGTCTTATCTGGTTTGTATGACTACAAATGGAGGACACAAAAAAACCTTTTTTTAAATCATGAAGCAATGGAAGTTACGAAATTAACCTTTATTATATAAGAGGCAGAGTTGTACAAAATAAAGGGCCTGTGGTTGTTCTCTAATGTGCTGATTTGACAACACTGTTGGGTGACATATTGACAAACTGTATGTGATTTTGTAGCTCAGTTGGTAGAGCATGGCCCTTGCAACACCATTGTTGTGGGTTCGTTTCCCACGGGGGGCCAGTATGAAAATGTATGCACTCACTAACTGTAAGTCACTCTGGATAAGAGCGTCTGCTAAATGACTAAAATGTAAATGTAATTCTGTAACTGTCCCAGAACCAGAAGAGAATGGTTGCAGAGGCCCTCCACTGGCAAAATGTTCTCTCAAGACATAAACGTTGATTGGTATGAAACTAAAAAATAAATATACCACTAAAAGACAACATAGCATAAAATATATGCAGTAGTAGACATTTGATATGACTACGAGGATTCATTATCTGCACCTAGTCCATTATTGTTGTACATTTAAACATAATAATATATGCCATTTAGCAGACACTTTCATCCAAAGTGACTTACAGTCATGCATATATACATTTTCCGCATGGGTGGTCCCAGGAATTAAACCCACTACCCTGGCGTTACGAGCAGCATGCTTTACCAACTGAGCTACAAAGGACCATGTTTGACCCTGAACTCTCAGACTCCTGTGTTGTAAAACATTGTTTAGAACATCACCTGTGCAGTTTATTATAACAGACAGGCTTTTAATCCCTGAGTGGAGATTCTTCTGTCCTGGTCAGTCCAATAACGGAGTCCTTCTTCCCCTGAGGATAAGTGTCCAATGTCCTCCTCCTCCCTCACGGTGCTTTGCCTTGTTGCCGCTCCTGTTTTCTCTGTAGGTAGCGAGCACGGGCATCGCTCACAGAGCTTTCATCGTTCCGTTTCTCCAGTTTCTTGAACGCGTCTTCAGCAGACCCCTCTGGAAATAAACCAAACACACAGAATGACCTCTATTAGATTGTCAAGCAGACAAAACAAGCATATGAAGCATTCGAATCACCTGGGGGGCTTGAACAGAAAAGGCACTACAGTAACTTATCTTGTCCAATAGGAATGCTCAATTACATTTTCCATTAAAAAAAACTTTGCCCATATTAGAGGATTTTGAATGACACCTGTACTGTATATAATAAAGGAGCAACTACAGAAACATCAAATGTTATACAATTCTTTCTATACCAGTAAAGTAATACTCATCACCAGAGTCCATCACCCACCTGTTTGTCTTTTAGCTGCTTCCTTAGTCTCCCACTTGGCCACCTCCTCGTCTGTCACCTCCTCTCTGGCCACGCTGCTCAGCTCGTACACATCCACCTCATGGAGCTTAGGAAGCAGGTCCTTCACCCAGTCATAGCGGATGGGGCACACCGTCCGGATGTAGATCCGCGAGGTGACCAGCAAATCATGGAAGATCACCCAGTCCAGCTGGGGCTCCTGGTCAAAGAGCTATGGGAGAGGGGGAGTCAGGTTAACATGCAGGAGAGATGGTGAATCTAATATACATTTTGGGGATTTTATGGACTGTTCTGAATTGAACAGAATATAGTCCTGGAAGTCTTTACCGTTGATGATGGATGAATGTGAACCATGGATCCGTGTCCATCCATCGTGCAAAACACCTTCCCAACTGACCTGAGAGAAAACCACAACATCTTAGTTATCTTTCTTGACTTTTTAACATTACTGGGATAAAAGCCGTACCTTCTTGCCACGTTGGTGAAGTAACCAGCGCATAGACATCTCCTGAACAGCTCACTCTTATTGCCATCAAACTTCTCCATAGGGAAATCTCTCTTCTGGAAACAACAGACATACCATGATTATAAATCTGTACATACATGCTCAGAGCTTCACATCATAGTTTTAGCTACACTAAAACTAATAAGATAAGTAAACAAACAAACAACAAACTGACCTGTTGTAGTCGTAGGAGGATCTCTCTGAGCTGGGTCTCCACGCTGAAGGCTGACTTTAGCGCTCTCCAGTGTATATAGTTGTCTTTACACCACGCTGACGGGGCATCACTACAGTAGACAGCAAAACAAACTCATGTTAGATGGAGACCCATGAACATGAATGCAGTGAATATAATGTATCTTATTAAATACATTAAGAGGAGTGAAGGTTGTATACCTGGCCTTGCACTTCTCAAACACACTGAGCAGCATGGTGAAGTCATTACAGCTGCCCGCCTGCACTCCCAACTGCCTGTGCTTCTGATCTGCCTCCTTCTGCTTCTCTGGATGTCCTGCAGAGAGAGCAATGCCAAACATTTTGATTAGAACTATGACTTGGGATTATGTCCGACTGAAATCCAATGGAATAAAACGATAAAGTCCATGATGTATACACGTGTATTCCTGACATAACGTAGCCGGCCGCGACCGGGAGACATGGGGCGGCGCACAATTGGCCCAACGTCGTCCAAGGTAGGGGAGGGTTTGGCCGGCAGGGATGGCGTTTGCAATGCCAGGGTTGTGGGTTCGATTCCCATGGGGGGCCGGTATGAAAAAAATAATGTATGCACTCACTAACTGTAAGTCGCTCTGGATAAGAGCGTCTGCTAAATGACTAAAATGTAAATGTAAATGTATAACCACATCTTCATTGGCTAAACCCAGGCCTCAGGCCGTTATTGTCTACCTGGTCTGATGAAAATGTTCTCCACAGACAGCATGGCAGCTACAGGCAGCAGGAGGTCCTCAACGCCCAGGGAGGCAGCCTGGAGCAGGGCCCGGGTCAGCCCTGGGGGCAAGGGGAACTCTACCATCAGCTCACCCAGCCGGGTCACTTTACCTCTCCTATAGACCCCACACAGGGGAGGGGGTTATTGATAAGAGCTAACAAGAGCTATTAAAGATTGAGTGATAGTCATGAAGAACTGCAAAATACTGTATGTGGTATGTTCCCTCGGTTCTTGATGGTGAAAACAGCAGAGTTGTATCCCTATGTGGTTGTAGATGTAGCTGGTGGAGATTAGTATAAAGAATGAGAGATGTACACGGATATACAGTATGTCTACATCTCTCACCTGTCGATGGCGTCACATTGGTAAAGCCGTTTCAATGCTTCTAGGATGAACCTCTCCTCTGGACGGTCCAGGTAAGGGAACCTTCGAGAGACACACCAAGCAACCATGGCCTCAAATGACTTGTTGGATTGTATTGTATTATCAACAGTCTTGAAAACGGACACTGGTTTCTCTGAGCACTTGAGGAAGTGGAGCTGTACCTACCTGATGACATCATGAACTCCCAGGCACTTGAGTGTGAGGATAACAGCGGTGAGACTGGTCCGCTGGATCTCTGGTACTGTGTACTCCGGCATGCACTTCTCCCAGAACGCCTGACTGTAGATCCGGAAGCACTTCCCGGCGGAGGTTCTCCCTGCCCGGCCTGCTCTCTGCAGGGCCTCACTCCTACAACACCACACAACATCACAGTCCTGTTCATTAGGCATGAAACAAAAGGAAGCAGACTGAAACAGGGACTTCCGGGACTTACTTTGAAATCGGAACCACTTCGAGGATGTCCATGCCAACCCTTGAGTTGTGGTTGAGTTGCTTCACAAACCCACTGTCAACAATATACCTGCAGTGAACAAATTACAGTCATGAAATTTGAGGCCTTGCCATTCTGTGATGGATAAAAACAGCTCTATGCTGCTCTGATATGCCTTGTGGTGACTTACTTTATTCCATTGATGGTGAGGGACGTTGCTGCAATGTTGGTGGCCACCACACATTTCCTTATACCCGGTGGGGGAGGCTGGAAGATCTGCTTCTGCTGATCTGTGAGAAGGACACAAATCATTCATATTATTTAAAAATGAATTTAAATTCAGTCATGAGTCATGACTTTATACTTTTGATTTAGCAAGCCAATGACATGCTAAACCGTGTCCACTTGAGTGTGAAAGGGAACTCAATCTGTTTTTCTATATGTGAATGTCACAGTCAGGGGTACTCGGACAGTACCGCAAACCTTACCAGTGGGCATAGATCCGTACAGGGGCAGGATCAGCATCCCCTCCACTTTACGGTCCTGCACATCGTAACGATAGTCTATTGATTCAGCCTTCTCATACAGCATGTCACAGGCCTTCTCAATTTCAGACTGCCCTGTTATAAACAGTTGTATGGAAAAAGTATTAACTTGTAATCAGAACATTAATATTCTGGAGATTATGTGTAGATTATCATTAGGTTTACCTGTTAGAAACACAAGGATATCCCCAGCCATCTCACTGGTGTGTATATCCAATGTCACCTTGACAACCTGTCACAGACAAGAGGTTTGTTCATACTCGAAGTTTCCCCCCATACATTTAGTAGCAAAAAATTATTAAATAAACAACTTTGCCTTTTGTGAACTAACAACCGCACATGACTTGTATTTATTTTTCTACCAGCAATGCCTTCTCTGATAGCTACTTTATTGAGGAAAAATGTACTTACTATGACTAAGATATGTGGCTGTCCCACCTAGCTATTTTAAGATGAATGCACCAACTGTAAGCAGCTCTGGATAAGAGCATCTGCTAAATGACATAAATGTAAAGCAAGGAGTATACAGTATTACATTTACATTTTAGTCATTTAGCAGACGCTCTTATCCAGAGCGACTTACAGTTAGTGAATACATATATTTTTTTTATACTGGCCCCCCGTGGGAATCGAACCCACAACCCTGGCGTTGCAAACGCCATGCTCTATCAACTGAGCTACATCCCTGCCGGCCATTCCCTCCCCTACCCTGGACGACGCTGGGCAAATTGTGCGCCGCCCATGAGTCTCCCGGTCGCGGCCAGCTACGACAGAGCCTGGATTCGAACCAGGATCTCTAGTGGCACAATTAGACCACTGCGTCACTCAAGATGCAGAAATAAATAAATAATATTTCTCCACTCCTGTTCCCAAGTCCACATTTGCCTACATTTGGTGTAAAATTTTACTGCAAGAAATGCTTAATTCTGCGGGAGTTTTTATTTTAGCTCAGTTGTACGCTGCTTTGCGATCTATTAACAGCAAGAGTTGCATTAAATAGTCGCAACATGTTGTAATGATGCATTTGGCGATGTTCAATTCAATCGCACAAAACGTATAAACGAAAGCATTCACTGTGAAAGTTGCTAAACCATACCAAACCACTGAATTAAACTTCGACAATGTCCTTTTTGCCTCCGTGGATTGATGTTAACTTTTTCTGCCAGTTCCCAAAAGCATTATCTGGCGATTGGCTGTGTAGGCAATTTGGTGTGCATACAGTTAAGCCCTAAAGTTTAGGCTTATGCACTAATACCAGATAGCCTAAAATAATGAATAAAAACCTAAATGTAGACTATATAAATTGCACAGTAATTATACATTTATTGATTTTTTAAAGGTATTATTTCTCTCTATTCAACCCGCCTGCCCTTCAGCCACACAATATTTAATGACCCTAAACCCGTCCACCCCGCAGTTATCCACTGGGACTGTGGGTTATGAGTCAACCTGCGCATCACTAGCTGAGTTTAAATGAGCTAAATCCTGGGATGGTACAATCACTGAATTTATTCATTATCATACATCATACTAACAGTTGGCCTGTCAGTAAAAGCAAGCTCACTCCCTACCTCTTTAACGTAAACAGAGCTCTCTGTATCTTTTGGTCCTATAGCACAGCCAAACTTGGAGGTGACAGGGAAGGTTCTTCCAGGGATGGTGAAGACAGGACAGCCTCCCAGGAACACAGAGAGCTTGTCTGTCTCCAGGGTGGCTGACATTACCACCACCTTCAGGGGGACAGAGCGACCCTTAGAGGCCTTATCTGGACTGGAGAGGGTCTGCTTCAACAGACCCAGCAAAATGTCCTGCAGTAAAACACGTTACACAACTGTTTAAAGCTACAATCTGGGATTTGTTTCTCAGCAAAACAGCAGCCCCACCACTTGCTTTGGTATACAACTGAGGGATGGAGTTGGGGATATAATCAGATTACTGTTTTGAAGTAGTTGAGTCTTACTACTGACCGTGTTAAGGCTCCTCTCATGGGCTTCATCCAAAATGACCACACTGTACTGAGACAGAACAGGGTCTGCCAGGATCTCTCTCAGCAGACAGCCGTCTGTCATGTACTTCACCACCGTGTCCTGACAACACACAAACACAAATCTCCTTTCAGAGACACACATTTGCTGATATACACTACAATCTAATTATCTTTACATTTCAGTGACAATACGTAGACCTATAGAACACTTTCAAGGTGCCTAACACATAAGCGTATCTAATAATTTATGTGAAGTATCACTTTGAGCAGTCTAGTACAGTGTTTCCCGACCCTGGACAAGCACACCTGTTTCAACTTGTCAACTAATCATCAAGCCCTCAATGAGTTGAATGAGGCGTTTGTCCAAGGCTACAATGACAATGTGTACTGTTGGGAGATTCTAGGACCAGGGTTGGGAAACACTGGTCCAGTAGGTAGGTGTCTTGGAGCTCTCTCACCTGTGTCGTGCAGTCATCGAAGCGCACTTGGTATCCGACCTCTCTACCCAGACTACAGTGCATCTCCTGTGATACCCTCTGGGCTACAGTGATGGCTGCTACTCTCCGAGGCTGGGTGATGCCAATTTTACCATTATTCCAAAATCCTACACAAGAAATACAAGTTTACACCTATCCAAACCTTTCAGACCACTCTATAAGGGCAGCTCATAGACGAAGGCTATAATAAAGGGTATAGAAGTTTGGGGTCAATTTTGAATTCTGTAGACACAGGTCCCATGGCACAAGCTTACCTGCTTGATGCAAGTATTGGGGAAGTTGAGTCGTTTTCCCACTGCCAGTCTCGCCAGTGACAACCAAAAATGAATTGTCTTTGACAGCCTGTTGAAGTTTGGCCTTATGTTGATATATCGGCAGGTTCTTTGATTCGTCTGAATCTCCCTTGCTCCACTTCGCCCTTTTCGACATGATGGACTCTATTGTTGTTCAACTATGCGAAGGGGAATGATGACAAAAGCTGGTTCCAATAACTTATTTTACACGTATACACTAACAAAGAGTAAACACATAACTGCTTACTTATATAGAGTTGTAGGTCTGACTCTCCGCCACAATATTCTAACTTTTAGGTCGTACAGATTCCAAGTTACACACGTTTCCATCGACAAAACGATAAAACACAGCGACTTCCGGGTACAATGCATTCTGCGTTTTCATTGGTCCTTGTCGCGGCCAAATATCCTGACGTAATACTCGAAGCCGCTCCCCCATGTCTGAAAAGCCACTGCTGAAGTATTGCTTTTATGCACAATTTTCAACGATTAAATGGAATAATATGCAAGAATTGATGAGAAAACGTACAATAGCATTAACATACAAGGGTTCGATTGCGACAATGAGTCAATTTTGTCAGTCTTTTATGACAGTAAATGTACAGATAAGAGATGTTCGGAACCATGGACAGCATCTTGGTAGATCCTCTGCACCTGCATGGGGGAGCTCCCTAGTCTCAAGCACTACACATCAGTCAAAATTAAATACATCAATAAAACAAGAGTAACTGTGTCCCAAATTATTTACACCCGAAGGATGACAGGTCCACCAGAGTCAATGGTGTGCTGCAGAACACTCTTCCTATGGTGTTCTCTCAGCACTCCCATTCACCTCCTCCCTAGGGAGAATAGACATGGGACTTATTGATAAGACATGTATCCAGAGAATGGGACCTATTCCAAAGCAAAGTAAACACTTGGCTTCGCTTATATGATAAATGATTATGTTACATGGCATTGAGCAGCTGGTTCCTTTACAGACTTCTGTATCACAATGGACGTATACCTGGGGGGGATAGTGTTATTAATTGGCAGACAAAAGTGTCCGTCCACAATATGTATATTATTTTCACTGTAAACAGGAGCATTCAAGCCTCTGTGCCCAGAAAGTGGTGATGAATACCGCTCAGTTACTGAAAAGTATCTAATAATTTTCACACAATGCAATTTGAGTTGTATATGATTTAACAGGCACTCAGACTTTGTAAACTCATGGAATTTCACAAAGGAGAATAGCCTGACCACAAACTAATTGTGATGTGACGGATACTTGACTGGGGCCGGGGCGGCAGGTAGCTTAGTGGTTAAGAGCGTTGTGCCAGTAACCGAAAGGTCGCTGGTTCTAATCCCTGAGCCGACTAGGTGAAAAATCTGTCGATGTGCCCTTGAGCAAGGCACTTAACCCTAATTGCTCCTGTAAGTCGATCTGGATAAGAGCGTTGGCAGGTAGCTTAGTGGTTAAGAGTGTTGTGCCAGTAACCGAAAGGTTGCTGGTTCTAATCCCCGAGCCGACTAGGTGAAAAATCTGTCGATGTGCCCTTGAGCAAGGCACTTAACCCTAATTGCTCCTGTAAGTCGATCTGGATAAGAGTGTCTGCTAAAAAAAAAAAGACTAATTGACTTGACTCCCTTACTGCAGACCACTGGCAGAAACACAGTCCTGTGGCTGTCAGCACTGTAGGGACACCTGACAATGGAAACAAGAAGTCCTGAACACAGTGGTTTACCATTGAGAAATAAGTCAATAGGGATTGCTTGTCTGTGAACAATTGCAATTGGCTTGTAGTTGTTGGTTTTGGTAATAAACATGTAAGAGCACACAGTCAATGGGGGGTCCCGTCATGGAGAGTAGAAGTACCTGAAAGAGGAGTCTGAGGAGAAAACACAACCAAGAATCAAATTGCTCACAATATATAGCAATTGGCTGAACAAACACTACCTATTAAATTGTTTTAATGTGGTTGCACTGGAAAGACACATTTCATGTTTTTGTATTAAAACATGACAAATAAAAACCCTTGAACACACAATACAACTAAATGTTGAACTGATGAGCTTGCATACACAAACTCATAGCACCTTTGGCAAAGCTTAGCTCAGCCCGTAGAATTTCCTCACTCTTCAGTGCTGGTAGTGGGTAATCCTCCTCTGCTTCCTCTTTTTGGGTCTCCATGCTGAGTTCTGACACACTGGTCAATGCATAGCTGCAGTGGAAGGTCATCCTTAGGAAGGGAGAAATCACACGCTAACATACAGTGAGGGAAAAAAGTATTTGATCCCCTGCTGATTTTGTACGTTTGCCCACTGACAAAGACATGATCAGTCTATAATTTTAATGGTAGGTTTATTTGAACAGTGAGACAGAATAACAACAAAAAAATCCAGAAAAACCCATGTCAAAAATGTTATAAATTGATTTGCATTTTTAATGAGGGAAATAAGTATTTGACCCCTCTGCAAAACATGACTTAGTATTTGGGGGCAAAACCCTTGTTGGCAATCACAGAGGTCAAACGTTTCTTGTAGTTGGCCACCAGGTTTGCACACATCTCAGGAGGGATTTTGTCCCACTCCTCTTTGCAGATCATCTCCAAGTCATTAAGGTTTCGAGGCTGACGTTTGGCAACTCGAACCTTCAGCTCCCTCCACAGATTTACTATGGGATTAACGTCTGGAGACTGGCTAGGCCACTCCAGGACCTTAATGTGCTTCTTCCTTTGTTGCCTTGGCTGTGTGTTTTGGGTCATTGTCATGCTGGAATACCCATCCACGACCCATTTTCAATGCCCTGGCTGAGGGAAGGAGGTTCTCACCCAAGATTTGACGGTACATGGTCCCGTCCATCGTCCCTTTGATGCGGTGAAGTTGTCCTGTCCCCTTAGCAGAAAAACACCCCCAAATCATAATGTTTCCACCTCCATGTTTGACGGTGGGGATGGTGTTCTTGGGGTCATAGGCAGCATTCCTCCTCCTCCAAACACGGCGAGTTGAGTTGATGCCAAAGAGCTCGATTTTGGTCTCATCTGACCACAACACTTTCACCCAGTTCTCCTCTGAATCATTCAGATGTTCATTGGCAAACTTCAGACGTGCCTGTATATGTGCTTTCTTGAGCAGGGGGACCTTGCGGGCGCTGCAGGATTTCAGTCCTTCACGGCGTAGTGTGTTACCAATTGTTTTCTTGGTGACTATGGTCCCAGCTGCCTTGAGATCATTGACAAGATCCTCCCGTGTAGTTCTGGGCTGATTCCTCACCGTTCTCATGATCATTGCAACTCCACGAGGTGAGATCTTGCATGGAGCCCCAGGCCGAGGGAGATTGACAGTTATTTTGTGTTTCTTCCATTTGCGAATAATCGCACCAACTGTTGTCACCTTCTCACCAAGCTGCTTGGCGATGGTCTTGTAGCCCAATCCAGCCTTGTGTAGGTCTACAATCTTGTCCCTGACATCTTTGGAGAGCTCTTTGGTCTTGGCCATAGTGGAGAGTTTGGAATCTGATTGATTGATTGCTTCTGTGGACAGGTGTCTTTTATACAGGTAACAAGCTGAGATTAGGAGCACTCCCTTTAAGAGTGTGCTCCTAATCTCAGCTCGTTACCTGTATAAAAGACACCTGGGAGCCAGAAATCTTTCTGATTGAGAGGGGGTCAAATACTTATTTCCCTCATTAAAATGCAAATTAATTTATAACATTTTTTACATACGTTTTTCTGGATTTTTTTGTTGTTATTTTGTCTGTCACTGTTCAAATAAACCTACCATTAAAATGATAGACTGATCATTTCTTTGTCAGTGGGCAAACTTACAAAATCAGCAGGGGATCAAATACTTTTTTCCCTCACTGTACAGGTGTAACTCCATTATATCTTCCACACTATAAATGACAATCTGGATCACTGTAATTTTTACCTAAAGGGGGTATCTCGAAATATAGATCCTTGTTTATGATGCAAAAGTTTATCTGCCTCAACGTTCACCCAATAGATAATTTACCCAATAGAAAATGTAAAAAAAAAAAATCTAAATCAAGGGTACTTTTGAGATATTAATATTTTAAATGTTGAATAAATGAATGTGAAAAATTGTATTTCAGAGTCTAGACATACTCTATATTTGAGAGCACACTATAAGGAGTATGATGACACCAGAATGTTGGTTCACAGATCATAGGGTCTTACAGGAGGCATGTATAGGTCTAAAAGGGCCTAAAATTGCCACTTTCATCATGATTTTCTAATAAATTGTTTGTGTGATACAAATGTAAAAGCCATGTAAACATTTTCCTCCCAATGAAGTATTGTGAGAATTGCCAGAACAATCTGTGATACCAAAAATATTTTCTGCCTACGCTGGTGTGGAATCAGCCAATAGATTATTTTTCCATCAACAAACTGAAAGTAGGCCCAAGGAAAATTATCAATTTGACCTGATAGGGAAATAGATCTGATAGAGAAATAGACCATCTAAATGGTACACACCTGTGATTGAGCGCCACACTAGGTGAATGAAAAAGCAAAAGGTAATAGAGTGGTGAGTCCTGGTTTTGGGCTTGCAATTATGGCTGTGGCTGGAGGGGATCTGGACTGTGTCCAGGTTCAGAGGGGGGAATGTGGCATTCTGGAAGATGGGGATGATAAACCCTTCCTTGTCGCAGAGCCCAGGAGAACTTCTCGATGGTGGATTGTCAACCTTGCTGATTTCCTCTGAAGGGCATTTTTACAGACTGCTGATAACTGATATAATCTCACACTATAATGCCACTGAATACATTCTTTCCACAATGCAACTTTTGTATTATATAACGGTAACGCAAAGATTTTGTTACCTTTCAGGATGTCATAGCCTTGATGACCACTGTCAAACTGGCAATATCTCCCTGGCACATTGGAATAAAAGTGAGGTTTAACGTCAGCCTTTATGTGAAACAGCAACAACAACAAAAAAGAGATTGAATATTAGCGGAAATAGTTAGCCTACTTGACTTTTGACGAGACAGCCATAGTAGGGAACAGAAAGACAAGGATCCGGTCTGTCTCTCTGAAGAGCAATATCTATTGCCCTATAGTGTCCACCATGTTCATCTGTGTGAATTTTAATACACAGGACATTAGTAATTAGTAAAAACCACACATATAACCAATGATGTTCCCATTTAATTGATCAGGATGGAATATATAAGTTACTTACCTTGGACATAAATTGATGATTTGCTCTTTAGGAATGTAGAGAGACATATACCCATTATGACAGCTCACAGTGTCATTTATGTCTTTGTAAACTGCAGCTCTAGTTCATACTGTACCTTTCAGATGGTCAGTGCGGTTGAAAGTATGGATTATATACCTCTCGCTCCGCGCAGATTCGAGTAACAATAACAAATAATCTCTTCATCTCTGATGGTCAGCAAACAGTGGACATTGGGCCTGGGTGACCATCCACTGGTGGGGTGACACAGCTGGGGATCAGTAGGGTTAATTGCCTTGAATAGAGCCTTTCTGATTCACATTGGATAATACATTGGTGCATGAAAGAATCTCAAACCATTGAAACAAAAATTATTTAACTTTATTTCATATTTGTTTCACTTTCAAGACAATGTCATATACAGTTGAAGTCAGAGGTTTACATACACTTAGGTTGGAGTCATTAAAACCAGTTTTTCAACCACTCCACAAATGTCTTGTTAACAAACTATAGTTTTGGCAAGTCTGTTAGGACATCTACTTTGTGCATGACACAAGTAATTTTTCCAACAATTGTTTACAGACAGATTATTTCACTTATAATTCACTGTATCACAATTCCAGTGGGTCAGAAGTTTACATACACTAAGTTGACTGTGCCTTTAAACAGCTTGGAAAATTCCAGAAAAAGATGTTATGGCTTTAGAAGCTTCTGATAGGCTAATTGACATCATTTCAGTCAATTGGAGGTGTACCTGTGCATGTATTTCAAGGCCTACCTTCAAACTCAGTGCCTCTTTGCTTGAAATCATGGGAAAATCAATGGTAGACCTCCACAAGTCTGGTTCATCCTTGGGACTAATTTCCAAACGCCTGAAGGTACCACGTTCATCTGTACAAACAACAGTACGCAAGTATAAACACCATTGGACCACGCAGCCGTCATACCGCTCAGGAAGGAGATGTGTTCTGTCTCCTAGAGATTAACGTACTTTGGTGTGAAAAGTGCAAATCAATCCCAGAACAACAGCAAAGGACCTTGTGAAGATGCTGGAGGAAACAGGTACAAAAGTATCTATATCCACAGTAAAACGAGTCCTATATCGACATAACCTGAAAGGCCTCTCAGCAAGGAAGAAGCCACTGCTCCAAAACCGCCATATAAAAGCCAGACTACGGTTTGCAACTGCACATGGGGACAAAGATCGTACTTTTGGGAGAAATGTCCTCTGGTCTGATGAAACAAAAATAGAACTGTTTGGCCATAATGACTATCGTTATGTTTGGAGGAAAAAGGGGGTGCTTGCAAGCTGAAGAACAACATCCCAACCGTGAAGCACGGGGGTGGCAGCATCATGCTGTGGGGGTGCTTTGCTGCAGGAGGGACTGGTGCACTTCACAAAATAGATGGTATCATGAGGAAGGAAAATTATGTGGATATATTGAAGCAACATCTCAAGACATCAGTCAGGAAGTTAAAGCTTGGTCGCAATGGGTCTTCCAAATGGACAATGACCCCAAACATACTTCCAAAGTTGTGGCAAAATGGCTCAAGGACAACAAAGTCAAGGTATTGGAGTGGCCATCACAAAGCCCTGACCTCAATCCTATAGAAAATGTGTGGGCAGAACTGGAAAAGCGTTTGTGAGCAAGGAGGCCTACAAACCTGACTCAGTTACACCAGCTCTGTCAGGAGGAATGGGCCAAAATTCACCCAACTTATTGTGGGAAGCTTGTGGAAGGCTACCGGAAACGTTTGACCCAAGTTAAACAATTTAAAGGCAATGTTACCAAATACTAATTGAGTGTATGTAAACTTCTGACCCACTGGGAATGTGAGGAAAGAAATAAAAGCTAAAATAAATCATTCTCTCTACTATTATTCTGACATTTCACATTCTTAAAATAAAGTGGTGATCCTAACTGACCTAAGACAGGGAATTTTTTACTAGGATTAAATGTCAGGAATTGTGAAAAACCTAGTTTAAATATATTTGGCTAATGTGTATGTAAACTTCTGACTTCAACTGTACTTTATTTACAAAAAAAGAAAAAGAAAAGTACAACCCAAACAGAAGCGAGACCAAGGAGTTGAGACCTAGTATCCTCGTCATCCCTGTCTACAGGTTGTTGAGTTGGTCTGTGCTGTTGTTGTAGATAGGGTTTTTAAATTCACATTCTGGGAGAGAGAGAGAGTGGTCTTAATGTAAGATAAGTTATAATGATTATGATTATACAGTAAGTTGTGAGAAAAAACCCAACTTACTCTCTTTGGGTTTCTTTCTCCAAAGGCTTCCTGCAATGAGAAGGAAACAAGGCTTTAATAACAAAATGCTAGAGTGCATATTGATTTGTATCAGAGGTTACTGTAAAGCATAGTGCGTAGGATACCTCTTTGGCGGTTGGCCATTTGGGATCTTCCCTCCTGGTTGGTTTCTGCTTCATTTGCTCTTTGGTGGTTGTCCATCTGAGCTCTGGCTTGCTGGTTGATCTCTGCTTGGTTTGCTGTCAGAGTTCACGACAAGTCAATGTAATTCATAAAAGGATCACTGCAAGCTGATACTGTAAATTGCTCATTACAAAGCTCTGACTTTACCATAGTAATGCCGTCCGAGACTTGATTGGCGCAATCTGCTCATCAGTTCTGGGGAAGGAAAGTCCATAGTTCAGTTACTTCTGAATTCAACGTGAATACCAAGCGGGGATGAAAATATTGGTATCATTGAACAAGGGAAAATGATTATAGAATGTTGACTGTATGTTACATACAGTATAGCTCACCTCTATGAAACCCCTGTCTTCTTTTCTCACTCAAATCTCTCACTGGTTTATTTTGGTATCTAGCTTGTTCGTGCTGGTTTCTTGGTGGTTCATGCTGAATTCCAGTTGGATCATGCTGAATGGTTGGATCATGCTGAATTCTGGTTGGATCATGCTGAATTCTGGTCGGTTCATGCTGCATTCTGGTTGGATCATGCTGAATTCTGGTCGGTTCATGCTGCATTCTGGTTGGATCGTGCTCATTGTTTTCTGTTAAAAGGAGGGAAGAGAACAGTTCAAACTACAGTGGGGAAAAAAAGTATTTAGTCAGCCACCAATTGTGCAAGTTCTCCCACTTAAAAAGATGAGAGAGGCCTGTAATTTTAATCATAGGTACACGTCAACTATGACAGACAAAATGAGAAAAACAAATCCAGAAAATCACATTGTAGGATTTTTAATGAATTTATTTGCAAATTATGGTGGAAAATAAGTATTTGGTCAATAACAAAAGTTTCTCAATACTTTGTTATATACCCTTTGTTGGCAATGACACAGGTCAAACGTTTTCTGTAAGTCTTCACAAGGTTTTCACACACTGTTGCTGGTATTTTGGCCCATTCCTCCATGCAGATCTCCTCTAGAGCAGTGATGTTTTGGGGCTGTCGCTGGGCAACACGGACTTTCAACTCCCTCCAAAGATTTCTATGGGGTTGAGATCTGGAGACTGGCTAGGCCACTCCAGGACCTTGAAATGCTTCTTACTAAGCCACTCCTTCGTTGCCCGGGCGGTGTGTTTGGGATCACTGTCATGCTGAAAGACCCAGCCACGTTTCATCTTCAATGCCCTTGCTGATGGAAGGAGGTTTTCACTCAAAATCTCATCATACATGGCCCCATTCATTCTTTCCTTTACACGGATCAGTCGTCCTGGTCCCTTTGCAGAAAAACAGCCCCAAAGCATGATGTTTCCACCCCCATGCTTCACAGTAGATATGGTGTTCTTTGGATGCAACTCAGCATTCTTTGTCCTCCAAACACGACGAGTTGAGTTTTTACCAAAAAGTTCTATTTTGGTTTCATCTGACCATATGACATTCTCCCAATCCTCTTCTGGATCATCCAAATGCACTCTAGCAAACTTCAGACGGGCCTGGACATGTACTGGCTTAAGCAGGGGGACACGTTTCGCACTGCAGGATTTGAGTCGCTAGCGGCGTAGTGTGTTACTGATGGTAGGCTTTGTTACTTTGGTCCCAGCTCTCTGCAGGTCATTCACTAGGTCCCCCTGTGTGGTTCTGGGATTTTTGCTCACCGTTCTTGTGATCATTTTGACCCCACGGGGTGAGATCTTGCGTGGAGCCCCAGATCGAGGGAGATTATCAGTGGTCTTGTATGTCTTCCATTTCCTAATAATTGCTCCCACAGTTGATTTCTTCAAACCAAGCTGCTTACCTATTGCAGATTCAGTCTTCCCAGCCTGGTGCAGGTCTACAATTTTGTTTCTGGTGTCCTTTGACAGCTCTTTGGTCTTGGCCATAGTGGAGTTTGGAGTGTGACTGTTTGAGGTTGTGGACAGGTGTCTTTTATACTGATAACAAGTTCAAACAGGTGCCATTAATACAGGTAACGAGTGGAGGACAGAGGAGCCTCTTAAAGAAGAAGTTACAGGTCTGTGAGAGCAAGAAATCTTGCTTGTTTGTAGGTGACCAAATACTTATTTCCCACCATAATTAGCAAATAAATTCATAAAAAATCCTACAATGTGATTTTCTGGATTTTTTTCCTCCATTTGTCTGTCATAGTTGACGTGTACCTATGATGAAAATTACAGGCCTCTCTCATCTTTTTAAGTGGGAGAACTTGCACAATTGGTGGCTGACTAAATACTTTTTTCCCCACTGTAGGTCCATGTAGAAAAGAAAACAACAACATAAAAATTATATTCCAGTCCATTGAATGAAAATGGGGAATATAAAATAATAAACCTACCATAGATAGGTCGCTCATTGCCGGCTCCTAAAGTAAGACAAAAAAACAGATGTGAGCATCAGTCTGTAAATGCAACATGACTGTGTACTTTGGTAAATATAGAGTGATGTTGTAATGTTAATAATAATAATCTTAACCACATGGACATTATTACATTTACGTCATTTAGCAGACGCTCTTATCCATTATATCCATTATATCCATTATAAGACACTGTGTGTGTGTATGTGTGAGTGTGTGTGTGTGTGTGTGTGTGTGTGCGTGCGTAGCCTACGTGTGTGTACGTTTTTTACCTCTCTCCTGTGCCACGTCTCTCCCGACATTGTCACTACATGTGACGTTCTCAGGAGGTGCACTGGATCCTGTCATATTATACAGAATTCTACATTCATTTTATGCTTCAATCAGATTTGAAAGGGGTGCTCAAATGCCATAGTGTAAAACTTTATCTTTCAAAAAAAAAATGAAAATTAACATTGAGGATTAGAACAAGAGCATAGAGGCCCAACCTGCATAGAAATGGGTGTTGATGTAGTCGGGTGTTCTTTCACTAGAAACTCCTAAAACAAAAAAAGGGACTTTATTAAAGTACAAGTACATACACTACCGGTCAAAAGTTTTAGAACACCTACTCATTCAAGGGTTTTTCTTATTTTTACTATTTTCTACATAGCAGAATAATAGTGAAGACATCAAAACTATGAAATAACACATATGGAATCATGTAGTAACCAAAAAAAGTGTTAAACACATCAAAATATATTTGAGATTCTTCAAATAGCCACCCTTTGCCTTGATGACAGCTTTGCACACTCTTGGCACTCATGCTTTTCCAACAGTCTTGAAGGAGTTCCCACATATGCTGAGCACTTGTTAGCTGCTTTTCCTTCACTCTGCCGTCCGACTCATCCCAAACCATCTCAATTTGGTTGAGGTCGGGGGATTGTGGAGGCCAGGTCATCTGATGCAGCACTCCATCACTCTCCTTCTTGGTAAAATAGCCCTTACACAGCCTGGAGGTGTGTTTTGGGTCATTGTCCTGTTGAAAAACAAATGATAGTCCCACTAAGCCCAAACCAGATGGGATTGCGTATCGCTGCAGAATGCTGTGGTAGCCATACTGGTTAAGTGTGCCTTGAATTCTAAATAAATCACAGACAGTGTCACCAGCAAAGCACCCCCACACCATAACACCTCTTCCTCCATGCTTTACGGTGTCACGCCCTGGCTCTGGGACTCTTATATGTTGAGCCAGGGTGTGTAGATTCTATGTGTTTGTATTTCTATGTTAGGATCTAGTTCATGTGTTTCTATGTTGGCCGGGGTGGTTCTCAATCAGAGGCAACGTGAATCAGCTGTTGCTTGTTGTCTCTGATTGGGATCCATACTTAGGCAGCCTTGTGTTCACTTGTGTTTGTGGGATCTTGTTCCGTGTATGGTTTGTGTATGTACCCAAGGACTTCACGTATCGTTTTGTTGTTTTTGTTCGTGTGGTGAATTAAAAATACAAGTATGTTCGCTTATCACGCTGCACATTGGTCCACTCCTTTCGACGATTGTGACAGAAGATCCCACCAATACTGGACCAAGCAGCGTGTTTCGGAGCTAACGCCGGGTAAGGAGATGGAGAAGTTGGCGATGGCCCAGGTGGGCCAATGGTGGTCCTGGGAGGACATGTTCGAGGGCAGAGGACCATGGGCAAAGGTTAAAGCCTTGACGAGAGAGGAGGTACGGCGCCAACAGTGTCGTCGTCGGACAGGCGAGAGGCAACCCCAATACATTTTTAGGGGGGGGCACATGGCATGGACGACGGGGCTGCTGGAGGCAGATAAGGGGCGAGTTTGTGGACGAGGAGAGAAGGCCACCGGGTTACGGGAGCCATTGGTGATTAGAGGGAGGGAAAGTGTAGAGGCACGGCGAGAGGTACTGAAGTGTGTTGCCAGTCCGGTCCGGCCCGTTCCTGATCCCTGTATAAGGCCAGTGGTGTGTGTTCCCAGTGCGGTCCGGCCTGTTCCTGTCCCTCGCACCAAGCCTGTGATGCGCGTCGCCAGCCCGGTCCGGCCTGTTCCTGCCCCTCGCACCAAGCCTATGGTGCGCGTCGCCAGCCCGACCCGGCCTGTTCCTGCCCCTCGCACCAAGCCAATGGTGCGCGTCGCCAGCCCGGCCCGGCCTGTTCCTGCCCCTCGCACCAAGCCAATGGTGCGCGTCGCCAGCCCGGCCCGGCCTGTTCCTGCCCCTCGCACAAAGCCAATGGTGCGCGTCGCAAGCCCGGCCCGGCCTGTTCCTGCCCCTCGCACCAAGCCAATGGTTCGCGTCGCCAGCCCGGCCCGGCCTGTTCCTGCCCCTCGCACCAAGCCAATGGTGCGCGTCGCCAGCCCGGCCCGGCCTGTTCCTGCCCCTCGCACCAAGCCAATGGTGCGCGTCGCCAGCCCGGCCCGGCCTGTTCCTGCTCCCCGCACCAAGCCTATGGTGTGCGTCGCCAGCCCGGCCCGGCTCGTTCCTGCTCCCCGCACCAAGCCAGGGGTGCGCGTCGTCAGCCCGGTCCGGCCCATTCCTGCTCCCCGCACCAAGCCTGTGGTGCGCATCGTCAGCCCGGTCCGGCCCGTTCCTGCTCCCCGCACCAAGCCAGGGGTGCGCGTCGTCAGCCCGGTCCAAGCCAGGGGTGCGCGTCGTCAGCCCGGTCCGGCCCATTCCTGCTCCCCGCACCAAGCCTGTGGTGCTCATCGTCAGCCCGGTCCGGCCCGTTCCTGCTCCCCGCACCAAGCCAGGGGTGCATGTCGTCAGCCCGGTCCGGCCCATTCCTGCTTCCCGCACCAAGCCTGGGGTGCGTGTCGTCAGTCCGGCACAGCCCGTGCCCGGTTCACCGGTGCCTGGTCAGGTACCGGTCAGCTGCTCCACACCGGAGCCTAAGCAATCCGCTCCACCGATGTCCAGTCCAGCTCCAGCCAGCGGGGCCAGACCAGACCAGGGGCACTACGGGGGGGTTATTAGAGGGTGGTGGTCACATCCGCCTCCAAGGAGGAATGCCCACCCGGCCCTCCCCTGTTCGGTTTATGTTTGGCGCGGTCGCAGTCTGCGCCTTTGGGGGGGGGGGGGGTACTGTCACGCCCTGGCTCTGGGACTCTTATATGTTGAGCCAGGGTGTGTAGATTCTATGTGTTTGTATTTCTATGTTAGGATCTAGTTCATGTGTTTCTATGTTGGCCGGGGTGGTTCTCAATCAGAGGCAACGTGATTCAGCTGTTGCTTGTTGTCTCTGATTGGGATCCATACTTAGGCAGCCTTGTGTTCACTTGTGTTTGTGGGATCTTGTTCCGTGTATGGTTTGTGTATGTACCCAAGGACTTTACGTATCGTTTTGTTGTTTTTGTTCGTGTGGTGAATAAAAAATACAAGTATGTTCGCTTATCACGCTGCGCATTGGTCCACTCCTTTCGACGATCGTGACATACAGTGGGAAATACACATGCAGAGATCATCCGTTCACCCACACCGTGTCTCACAAAGACATGGCGGTTGGAACCAAAAATCTCAAATTTGGACTCCAGACCAAAGCACACATTTCCACCGGTCTAATGTCCATTGCTCGTGTTTCTTCGCCCAAGCAAGTCTCTTCTTATTATTGGTGTCCTTTAGTAGTGGTTTCTTTGCAGAAAATCGACCATGAAGGCCTGATTCACACAGTCTCCTCTGAACAGTTGATGTTGAAATGTGTCTGTTACTGGAACTCTATGAAGCATTTATTTGGGCTGCAATTTCTGTGGCTGGTAACTCTAATGAACTTATCCTCTGCAGCAGAGGTAACTCTGGGTCTTCCATTCCAGTGGCGGTCCTCAGGAGAGCCAGTTTCATCATAACGCTTGATGGTTTTTGCGACTGCACTTGAAGAAACTTTCAAAGTTCTTGAAATGTTCCGTATTGACTGACCTTCATGTCTTAAATTAATGATGGACTGTTGTTTCTCTTTGCTTATTTGAGCTGTTCTTGCCATAATACGGACTTGGTCTTTTACCAAATAGGGCTATCTTCTGTATACTCCCCCTACCTTGTCACAACACAACTGATTGGCTCGAAATAAATTCTACAAATTAACTTTTAACAAGGCACACCAGTTAATTGAAATGCATTCCAGGTGACTACTTCATGAAGCTGGTTGAGAGAATGCCAATAGTGTGCAAAGCTGTCATCAAGGCAAAGGATGGCTATTTGAAGAATCTCAAGTATAAAATATATTTTGATTTGTTTAACACTTCTTTGGTTACTACATGATTCCATATGTGTTATTTCATAGTTTTGATGTCTTCACTATTTTTCTACAATGTAGAAAATATTAAAAATAAAGAAAAACCCTTGAATGAGTAGGTATTCTAAAACTTTTGACCCGTAGTGTACATCACATTTCACAAACAAATCAGGCTACTTTGAAATGTTCCACCACTGCATCGGTGCAGTTCCTCTTTCTACCGTGCATACTGGGTGGCATTAAGACATGTGTTTAGGCCTGTTTAAAGTGTGCAATGTGCATCATTTTAGTAGGATATGTAGCTACATAACTGACATGGAAGCAGCTTGCAAAGTTGCACAATCAGCCTCATTACATTTACATCAGAAAGAAAGGATGCTGCTTAATGCTCATAGGAAGATTCGGATTAGCCCAAATAACTGTCAATGTACTCCGTGTATTATACTGTATAGTGTGCAGTATGCCATGCTAGCGGCTTCATCCATATCATTCCAATACTGAAGTAAGACTGAGGGAGTCAGACAGAGGAACATGGAGGTGCTCACGTGTCCATTTCACCCAGCAGAAACAGCCACTCAGGAGCACTATGAGGACGGCCACACCACAGATGCTGAAAAACAACACTTGCAGATCTGTACTGTCTGAAGAGAGGAAGAGGAGGTTTTATTTACATGTTATAGGAAACATTAAGCAAGAGGGCTGCTAAGTCTAACCTGACCAGAAATGGGTTGACCTTTACAGAAAGTGACTGTGGAAGTAAAAACCAACCACATGCTGTGTATACAGCGTGCATCTCTGCAGTTTGCATATACAGTATGAAGCCTGCACCAATTATTTTGACTCATTGCTGGTGACTTGAAAGGGTCCTATATTTTCGGATACAAAAGTATAAGAGATTATTGTTCTAATGTAACACTAAAGTGACTTTCTCTTGATACAAATATTTGGTTGAGGTTGCAAGAAGGAATCAAACCTACAACTCAGGAATTGTTACAAGCACCAACTGAGCCATTGGAACAATATACTACTGTAGATACTAGCATAGTGTTACCTTGATCAAGTTCCTCAACTTCCACTCGATGGCACTGGTCATTACTCTGTAGCTCACAGCAGTAGGAACCCAGGTCTGAGGCCTGAAGGGCATCGATGCTGATGGAGAAGTTCCCCAGAACTCCCTGATTGGGGAAAGCCTTCACTCTGCCTTGCCTGGGGTCCAGAAAGTCCACCTGATAATAATACATTCAGATTTGATTTATATATTATTTGAAGAGCGCTTTTCATTACATGCAGAAATTACAAAGCTGTACATCAAAATTAATGTTAAAATGCTTTAAAAAAGCTAACGTCTCAAAGCAAAAAATAAGTATAGTATTGTATATGATACGCAGACAACTGAAGGAGGCAACAACCTTCCCAGACGACGTGATGTTGACCAGGCTGACACCAGAACCAGAGCCATGGTTCCACACCACCCAGCCATGGCCAGGGCTGATGCCCAGAGAGGTAGACCCAAAGCTGCATGACAAGAGCACCACAGAGCCCAGTGGAGCCTGGAGGGTGGATGTTTTACAGGAGTCATGGCAATGTTTGTTACCTAGAGGAGGAGTTTTGGGTTTGGACAGTTATCAGGCTCATAGACAAAACGTTGCAATGTAATGGTTAAAATATACAGCCATTTTATGGTAAATTCTCAGCGGCATACACTACCGGTCAAAAGTTTTAGAACACCTACTCATTCAAGGGTTTTTATTTATTTTTACTATTTTCTACATAGCAGAATAATAGTGAAGACATCAAAACTATGAAATAACACATATGGAATCATGTAGTAACCATAAAAGTATTTAACAAATCAAAATATATTTTATATTTGAGATTCTTCAAATAGCCACCCTTTGCCTTGATGACAGCTTTGCACACTCTTGGCATTCTCTCAACCAGCTTCACCTGGAATGCTTTTCCAACAATCTTGAAGGAGTTCCCACATATGCTGAGCACTTGTTGGCTGCTTTTCCTTCACTCTGCGGTCCGAATCATCCCAAATCATCTCAATTTGGTTGTGGTCAGAGTATTGTGGAGGCCAGGTCATCTGATGCAGCACTCCATCACTCTCCTTATACAGCCTGGAGGTGTGTTGGGTCATTGTCCTGTTGAAAAACAAATGATAGTCCCACTAATCCAAACCAGATGGGATGGCGTATCGCTGCAGAATGCTGTGGTAGCCATGCTGGTTAAGTGTGCCTTGAATTCTAAATTAATCACAGACAGTGTCACCAGCAAAGCACCCCCACACCATAACACCTCCTCCTCCATGCTTTATGGTGGGAAAAACACATGCGGAGATCATCTGTTCACCCACACGCGTCTCACAAAGACACAGTGGTTGGAACCAAAAATCTCAAATTTGGACTCCAGACCAAAGGACACATTTCCACCGGTCTAATGTCAATTTCTCATGTTTCTTGGCCCAAGCAAGTCTCTTCTCCTTATTGCTGTCCTTTAGTAGTGATTTCTTTGCAGCAATCGACCATGAAGGCCTGATTCACACAGTCTCCTCTGAACAGTTGAGATGTGTCTATTACTTGAACTCTGTGAAGCATTTATTTGGGCTGCAATTTCTGCGGTTGGTAACTCTAATGAACTTATCCTCTGCAGCAGAGGTAACTCTGGGTCTTCCATTCCTGTGGCAGCCCTCATGAGAGCCAGTTTCATCATAGCGCTTGATGGTTTTTGCGACTGTACTTGAAGAAACGTTCAAAGTTCTTGAAATATTCCGTTTTGACTGACCTTCATGTCTTAAAGTAATGATGGACTGTTGTTTCTATTTGCTTATTTGAGCTGTTCTTGCCATAAAATGGACTTGGTCTTTTACCAAATAGGGCTATCTTCTATATACCCCCCTACCTTCTCACAACACAACTGATTGGCTCAAACGCATTAAGAAGGAAAGATATTCCACAAATTAACTTTTAAGAAGGCACACCTGTTAACTGAAATGCATTCCAGGTGACTACCTCATGAATCTGGTTGAGAGAATGCCAACAGTGTGCAAAGCTGTCATCAAGGCAAAGGGTGGCTATTTGAAGAATCTCAAATATAAAATATATTTTGATTTGTTTAACACTTTTTTGGTTACTACATGATTCCATATGTGTTATTTCATAGTTTTGATGTCTTCACTATTATTCTACAAGTACAAAATATTAAAAATAAAGAAAAATCCTTGAATGAGTAGATGTTCTAAAACTTTTGACCTGTAGTGTATGTAAATTTTTCTAATGTAAGCTAAAAACAGGATTTGAAAAATTACACCATTATTTTCCTGATGCACAAGACATTCACGACAGGAAGCTTCTCTTACGTTTCTACTCTCCTATTCTACATTTATTCTCTCAGATCTCTACATAAAATGCTATATCTATGTTATCATTCTCTTAAGCACTTACCCATTGAAACAACAGAGGTATAATATAATACCATCCAGAAAAAGCAGCCTTCAGTTTTGACAAAGAACATTTTCCGTATTTTAATATATGGCAGTGAGTGGTACCAGAAATGTAAGTGAAAGTATCCAGTAGCTACTCTATGAGCAAGGTAAAGGGTAAACCTCTACAACTAAGTTCAGACACAGAGGCAATCGATTAGGTCACTTCCTGTCTAAGCAGCTGTGCATGTTTAGATTCTTCCCATTTCTTTTTATACGTTTCTGAAAACATTGAATATAGTGTTACGTTTGAACTGGTACTTGATTCATTTGATATGTTATAACATGTTTAACAACGTTATTACATGTTATTCACATGTTATAACAATCTCACGTACTTGGATGATGTGCATGTATACAGCAGGTCTTATTTACTTCTTTCTGTGATTATAAACAACTATGAGGCATGTTCATGCACTAAAATAACCTGGTTTATGTGCATGACACATATAATTTAGTTAATTTAGGTTCATAAATGCTTATTTTACTGTATTCACCGTAATACTATTTGTAGCTGCAGCCAACGGAACAAAGTCCTGAGCAGTAGCACAGATGAGGTGTGATGAGATGAGCAATCTTACTGAGAAGACCACAGTAGCTTCCTGTTGAAGGGGGCCTTCAGTTGCAAGCGAAATGCAGAGGTAAACCACACTCTCTAACTAGGCCTCTGTCTGTTGGATTGATGCAGCGTGGGGTGGGGGTGTGGTGATAGTCAAGAGTGAGACACAAGCATACAGTTGAAGTCAGAAGTTTACATACACTTAGGTTGGAGTCATTAAAACTAGTTTTTCAACCACTCCACAAATGTATTGTTAACAAACTATAGTTTTAGCAAGTCGGTTAGGACATCTACTTTGTGCATGACACAAGTACTTTTTCCAACAATTGTTTACAGACAGATTATTTCACTTATAATTCACTGTATCAAAATTCCAGTGGGTCAGAAGTTTACATACACTAAGTTGATTGTGCCTTTAAACAGCTTGGAAAATTCCAGAAAAAGGTGTTATGGCTTTAGAAGCTTCTGATAGGCTAATTGACATCATTTGAGTCAATTGGAGGTGTACCTGTGGATGTATTTCAAGGCCTACCTTCAAACTCAGTGCCTCTATGCACATCATGAGAAAATCAAAAGAAATCAGCCAAGACCTCAGAAAACAATTTATAGACCTCCACAAGTCTGGTTCATCCTTGGGACTAATTTCCAAACGCCTGAAGGTACCACGTTCATCTGTACAAACAACAGTACGCAAGTATAAACACCATTGGACCACGCAGCCGTCATACCGCTCAGGAAGGAGATGTGTTCTGTCTCCTAGAGATTAACGTACTTTGGTGTGAAAAGTGCAAATCAATCCCAGAACAACAGCAAAGGACCTTGTGAAGATGCTGGAGGAAACAGGTACAAAAGTATCTATATCCACAGTAAAACGAGTCCTATATCGACATAACCTGAAAGGCCTCTCAGCAAGGAAGAAGCCACTGCTCCAAAACCGCCATATAAAAGCCAGACTACGGTTTGCAACTGCACATGGGGACAAAGATGAGAAATGTCCTCTGGTCTGATGAAACAAAAATATAACTGTTTGGCCATAATGACCATCATTATGTTTGGAGGAAAAAGGGGGTGCCTTGCAAGCCAAAGAACACCATCCCAACCGTGAAGCACGGGGGTGGCAGCATCATGCTGTGGGGGTGCTTTGCTGCAGGAGGGACTGGTGCACTTCACAAAATAGATGGCATCATGAGGAAGGAAAATTATGTGGATATATTGAAGCAACATCTCAAGACATCAGTCAGGAAGTTAAATCTTGGTCACAAATGGGTCTTCCAAATGGACAATGACCCCAAGCATACTTCCAAAGTTGTGGCAAAATGGCTTAAGGACAACAAAGTCAAGGTATTGGAGTGGCCATCACAAAGCCCTGACCTCAATCCTATAGAACATTTGTGGGCAGAACTGAAAAAGCGTGTGCGAGCAAGGAGGCCTACAAACCTGACTCAGTTACACAAGCTCTGTCAGGAGGAATGGGCCAAAATTCACCCAACTTATTGTGGGAAGCTTGTGGAAGGCTACCTGAAATGTTTGACCCAAGTTAAACAATTTAAAGGCAATGCTACCAAATACTAATTGACTGTATGTAAACTTCTGACCCACTAGGAATGTGATGAAAGAAATAAAAGCTGAAATAAATAATTCTAGCTACTATTATTCTGACATTTCACATTCTTAAAATAAAGTGGTGATCCTAACTGACCTAAGACAGGGAATTTTTACTAGGATTAAATGTCAGGAATTGTGAAAAACTGAGTTTAAATGTATTTGGCTAATGTGTATGTAAACTTCAGACTTCAACTGTATGTACTGTAGATGAACATTTGGGTGAAAGTATGTTTTTATTTTAGTCCTCATGTTAACATGTCTTTTGACAAGAAAGTAGAGGTTGTAATTAACATACCTCCAATATGAATCCTTGTATGCTACACAATGTTGACTAGAAAAAAGGTTTACAAAATAAATGTATACAAATTAATATTGTAAAGACTGATCATGGAAATAAAAAATACAGAAATTATACTAAGATCAACCATGAGATATTTATTATATGTATTTATTTGTTATTATTATTATTATTATTATTATTATTATTATTATTATTATTATTATTATTATTTGGGTCTTTGGGAGGTTCTCAACTGGTGAAAAAAAGTCCATCCTCTCCTCGATTCCTCCGTCTTCCTCTCCTGCATGAACTGGAAACCGATAAGTGGTTGAGTGGTTGAGGAGAGTGTCAATTCGTTAGTAGGGAACAGAGGATTCTGCTCACCTCCTTGATTACCTACTTCGGCAGAGGATACACAAGAATGTATACACACCCCCTATGAATCAGCTGTTGTTTTCTCAAAGGAGAAAAGCATGCACACATTTAAAAATGATACGCTACGCTACCTTTTATCTATAACATGTCTTGCATACAACTAGTTAAATTGGTTTTCGCACTTTACACATTTATTTGGGGATTCCACCCCTCTAACCATAATTTGCCTGATGACGCATGAGTGGAGAAGGAGAGTCTCATTTCATACAAGCACATTTGTTTCCACGTTTCCTCTCCTTGCATCCACTCCTTGATTACCTTTGACCTTTTTCAAAAGCAGGCAAGGAGAGGACAGAGGAGACGCGAGGAGTCAAGCAAAACCAATTGAGATTCTCTCATTGTCTTGTCACTTTAGTTTTTGTAACTAACGTCTGTGTTGTCACAAAATACATTCACCATGACTACTCAAGCAACTTACTTCCTTTTTAACAAGGAAAGACAAATCCTCTGTTAACGTGACACATAACTTTGTGGTAAAAACCAAAGACTGACACTGAAGACAACCAGGAAATCGTTTCTATATTGAATTTATTTTCCATCCCAGGTTCATGCATTGCAAAATATAAAACCCTCATAGCCATGCTATATCTGCCAACACAATTTTAATAGCTGATATCAGACATCTCATGCAACAACTTTCATCAATTTAAATAGAAAATGGGGAATGTTTGTCAATATAGTTTGTTGTTTAGTCTAGTTGAACCTGGTGACAGAGCAACTTTGTAGAGGTATACAGAGGGCCTCTTGTCACCTTTGTTAGAGTAATGTCACTGTCTGTGGTCCAGACCAGATACAACTGAAACCCACTTTCAGTTCTGCTGGTCTGCTGGAGACAAGGGAGAGAGAGCAGTTACAGGAAACAGATCAAAGATCAATTAAAGTAAAAAATGCTCCCTACAAAAACTGAACTGAAAATACACGCCTACTGTTAACACTTTGCGCTAAATGTATTATATGTAATGTATTAGTATTGTAATTATACATTGTATGTAATGTAATGTACTGCATGTCAAGCACTTTCACACAACCCAAGGGTTTACATGACAACAAGGCAAGAGCCACCACCCACCACTACCACCACTGTCTGTCTGTTTGTCTGTCTGACAGAGAGGTTGTGATGTCATCACCTCATAGGAAATCTAGCATATATGAGCAGTTGTCAAAAGGTTTGATAAGTTACAAGCAAGTTATGATCAGACTGATCTGGTTTAAGCAGTTTATTTTTCTCAGACCTGACATGTTCTACTAGAAACATGATTCGAGGACACATTTTGCTGACTGGTATGTATTATGTTTTTGAGCATTAGGTAGTCATTAATTCAATTCATGTAAAGAGTGATAAAAGATCTGTATCGTCACATCTCTTTGCTTTACAGTGATATGCACAGTAGCAGGCTTCAACATTTTCACAAAACCAGTCAAGCATTTTCATAACAATGATACACTATTTGGGCAAACTACTGTTCAGTCCAAAGAAGGGTAAGTCACTATGGCATCATCTGCTATATGTTATGTCAAATGAATTTGTGTTCATGTCATATAGATCTACAGTACTGTATTACATCTAGATTATTTTCTCCGTATCCATGTTCTCTTATGTAATTCAACAGGGTATTGGTTCCATCCCCAAATTCTAGACCCCAGAAAGTATTGCATTGTGATCTGGAAAACTGCATGGAAGTCAATATCTCAGGTGAACTATGTCACTCTTGCTAATCCAAATTTCAGAAGTAGGTTAATTTATTCTAGTACATTTCAGGGCCTATTTTTGTTAACCATATGCTGAATCCAAGTCGACTTGTTTTGTAGCCAATGCAAGTAAAGGACTCCGACCCATTGTGGCAGTAACCAACAGTTTGACTGGGGAGAAGGAGCAGCACATGGTATTTATTCTACGACAGTTTTTTACATTCATAGAGATAACCTATTTAACCTGCTGTGTTGTCTTTTATTGAGTCATTTCATTTGCCATTCACAATAAGTCAGTCATGAAAGTGTCATGAATTTTTATGACATTTGTCCATGATTTGTACATGATGACACAGTATATTGGCTGTATGACAAATAGTTATAGTAGTTCAAGACAACTAAGAGCTGTGTTGTATTTAATTTATGTGGATAAATGAGAGGGAGAGTGAGGGGTGAAGTATTAGAGGGGGAGAGGAATGGGCTGCAGGTCAGATTGGTACCGTAGTTAATTGTATTGCAGTAAATCACATGAGAGTAGCAGCAGAATCGTCGCCTAGTCAATTACTTCTCAGCAAAGCCACAGCTTCCTCTTCTGTAGGCGTCAGACGCTACTAACGTCTGTATTTCACATGACTTCCCTTTCATCATGAAAGATGGGCCCCACTCTTCCCAGAAACACCTTTTCCAATGTAACTGATTATTTTCTGCTACTGTAAGATTGTTTTTGCTAGATGGACTCACAGAGTAGGACCACATCTCTGGTCTGAAACAATACATAATTGTCTTTAAGTCTAGCATAGAAATGCTTCCTCAAACTCTGTTGATAAGATTATTGAGAGTGTACTCTGTGTCTGCTGCAGATATGTGTCACTGTGGTCACATTCAGACAGACAACTGCATGCACGCAGGCATCCACATCCGTTTTTTGAGCACAAGGTGTAGAAAATACCATACACTGTCCTGGTACCATACAGTGTCCTGTCTGAAGATTGAGAAAAAGTCACAGATTTGTTTCCTGTTCCACTTCAGACATCATATATTTGTCCAGCGAATGAAATACAGCTCAAATCGCCTTTATCTTGGGCCCTATGTTGCTCCAGGAATGAAGAGCATTAAGTCAGTAAGCAAGTTATCTTGGACAAAGATTCATGTGACTTGCTCACATGAGGAAGCCCTCGGCTCCGAGTCCATTTTAGACATCAGTTGAATGGTGTTTCTATAGCCTGCAGAAAAACTACTCCTCTGTGTACACTATCAAACTGATCGGGCCATAGAGCTATCCTGCTCAGCAGTATGCCATGTGGACTGATGACTTGCTCTGCTCTCCTCTCACCAGGTCTGCCAACAGGTCAGGAAGCAGAATAACTCAAATGATTATCTCAATGCAAACTGTACACTCCTGTCTGGCCTTCTGAAGCATGAGGTTTATTATCCTGCCACGCTAGGTAGGCATTCCTATGATATTGAACCAATGGAAACAGCTGTGAAAAAGTTAGATCTCAGATGAAGACAATGGAAACATACTGTACATCAGCGCCATATAAAGAGTGTAAAGTTAGTAATGAATGTCTACATTTTCTGAATTTAAGTTGTAGATCAAATGGAAAGAAACATCTCCATCAATGGCAACAATCACAATAACAAAAACAACAACAACAATAACAACAACAGTGATGAGGATGATGAGGGTGGTAGGTCTACATTTATTACAAATACAGGGAAGTGATGTGCATGTGTTTTTTTTTGTTCATGTACAATATCGCTGTTTTGTTTCTAGATCCTGGGACTGAGATTGCATTTGTACTTGATGGATCTGGTAGCATTAATGTGACAGACTTTGAAAGGGCAAAACATTTCATCTCAACTGTGATGAAAAATGTTTGGGAGAAATGTTTCAATGTAAGTATTGATCCACATTAATGCACACTTCAACAAAAGATTTGGTCATAAAACTGTGCTTTCTCTAGAATTGGCATTAAATAAAATGAATGATAATGCTTTATTGTGATAACAAAAATAAATAGCTCTTTCTTTTTATAGTGTGAATTTGCTATTGTTCAGTATGGCTCAAAAATCAGAACTGAACTGTCACTGAATGAGAAAGACGGGCCAACAGCTTTTGAAACGGTCAAAAACATTGAACAGATCAAAAACGCCACAATAACTGCTTCAGCTATAATCTATACAATGTAAGTACCATACTATAGGCCCATATTTTTATATCATTTAGATTGCAAATATCATTACATTGTTGACATTTGTTTACATTTGTATTTTCAGTGAACATGTTTTTGTTCCTGAGAATGGGTCCAAAGAGGACTCCAAGAAAATCATAATAGTGGTGTCAGATGGAGCAATATCCCTTTGGGATAAGAAAAATTTGCGAAGAGCAAATGACTTGCTTGAAACAAACCATATCACCAGATTTGCTATTGGGGTGAGTGTTCTCTTTTGTGTATCTTTTAATTCATCTTCCTGACTAAAGTAACAGGTTTAATCGATTCAATGAAAAAGTTAACTTATATTCTGGTATATCAAGACATAGATTTTCTCTATACATTTATGAATCACAGGTTGGTAATGAAACCAAAATAGACGAGATGAAGAATATTAGTGGCAGTGAGAGTAACCTGTTCTTGGTTGGTGACTATAAAGCCTTGGAGAGCATCCTCTCCCAGCTAGAGACCAGTATCATCAAAGGAATCGAAGGTAACACTAAAAGGCTGTAATCATCAGTTTACATTGTGTCCCATTATTGTCATATTCTGTATGTGTGCAATTTAATGTAGGAGGTTTAGGGTAGTCTAACACTGACAGGCTGTAAGGTGCATTTTGCATCCTACTCCATTAGAAATATTATTTCTGACTCACTTTATAACAAAATGTTTGTGTTGCTTTGATTTATGAACCAGGAATCAAGCAGGGGGATGGCTTTCAATTTCAACTCGCCGAGGCTGGATTCAGCAACCACATTGCACTTGATGTAAGTTGTTTGGTTTTTAACTTTGTTTTTTTACACATGGTTTTGTAGTTGGTTTAAGGCCAAAGTCTGCAGTCTGGGGTACCATGGTCCAACGTGTACTATTCCTATTAGCTGGAGACCGTGACCATATCTGAGATGCAGTTTGATGATCATAATAGTATCTCGATCCACTTGCCTAAGATTTGTATCTATTTTTTATTGGCTTCTGGCTAGTAACATCCATTCCCTCCTCTTCCTAGGGGTCCCTACTGTTCGGCGCTGTGGGCGCCAATGACTGGAGTGGAGGAGTGATCTTAAAACACCCCAAGGAGAATAAGGTCACCTTCTTAAATGGGTCATCCTCAGAGCCAAGGTTCTCCTACTTAGGTAAGTTATGGGACATGTAATCTCGGTTACCCAGAAGTAAAATTCACGCAAAGGTTAATTTGTCCACGAGAGATTATGGGACATGCAGTTTCAGACAAAGTTTTTGAAGGTTTTAGTTTTGTATTCCTTATCCTCATCCCGGGGCCATAACTGAAGGTCAGAGCTGCCAACTCTCACGCATTAGCCATGAGACACACGAATTTGGCCCTCTTCTCACAGCACACCTCATATATTTCACGCATTGAAAAGTACTGCTTTTATTTTTCTAATTAGTCCATTATATAGTCAGCGTGTTAAGTTTTCAACTGTGCTCCAAATCATTTTGAAATCGGAGCATCTGCAATTTAACATCACGAGCGGAACCTCTATCATTGTCCTGTCTTGCCACAGCACTGTGAACTGTGGCACATTGAAGCATGTGATTGGTCTAGTTATGTAAGGGATCAAGGGGATTGGATCCATGTTTTAAAGAAACGCCCCTCAAGGTTAGAGCAGCTGAATAAGGAGAGAGAACGTTCTCCGCTGAGTTTATAAAACTGTAAAAAGAGCAGCATGGTAGCGTTGTTTTATGTACAATGTTGTCAACAAAATGAGGTTGCTGTTACTCCAGTCCCTATTGCAGAATACAGCCTTTTGACAGCATGTACTAAAGTCGATTTAATCGCAACTTGCATTAGTCCCCTCTTTTGGTGATTGGTATTTAGGTTGTGACAACGAAAAGGCAGCAGACAGACCTTCACAGTATGTTTGGTAGGGTTACCTGATTTGTAACTCTGAAAATCATTTTGACAAACAGATTTTGAACCCAAAAGTGTAAGTTTGATTCTAGAGGGGGGACAATACACAATAATTTGGTTAGGGTGTAGGGACAGATTTATGTAATCTTGTCTTCAAGAGATTTTATTATCTATTTACATGATTTAGTCTGATCAGTGGAACAATTCTCATTCTTAACAATGGGCTAAAATATAGGGTAATTACTGTGCTTGTCAGCAAGAACATGACTGTTATTCCCCACACTTGTTTTATTATTCCACTTCTTCCAGATGTTGCAAGTGTAATCACATATTTGAAATCTGATTTGCCTACTTGTATTTTTGCAGCCATTCATGGACAGTTTTGAATAAGTCATAAAAATAAGCATTTGATATTAAATGCTCCAGGAATCAAATATAATTTGTGACATTTTAGTATTGTGCACAAGCTAAGCGGAAATGGTAGGGGGACTCTCAATTCATAAAAGCACCATATTTTGTCTATGTAGAGGAAGATGATGGCAAGGATCTTCAACTAGGAGGCATAAACCACCTGAATATTGATATTCATTCGATTTTTCTTGAAGGTTGGGGGATTTTGTGAAATTAGCCCTATTTTTAAAGTGAGAGTTCACCCAAATTACAAAATATATTTTGGTTACCCACTGCCATCAACCATTAATATTTACATTTCCTGTGCAGAACCTTGGTGTGGTGGTAACACTCCCCAGCACATGTCGCATACAACTTTCCACCTGAGAACAGGGATCAGTCCCTGCTTCCAACCTTCCCACTGTTTCTAGAATCTCATTTCATTGCCATCTGAATAAAGTGTAAAACCACCTAAAAAATATTAGCATGCTTTAAATTTTATCCCCAAAAATCTAAAAGTAACAAAGTTGTAGAATTTGGAGTGTTCATTTAATGTTCAAAGCATCCTGAATACACCTGACCTGTGGTTTTATTTTTTAAATGTCCACGCTGGTCATATGCCTAAGCCATATCAAAATACATAGAATTGCAGGAAATTACCTTTAACACAGTACTGGGGGAGGATTCTCAGTCCCCCTTCTAGGTGTTGTGCCAGGGGGGCAATGAAATTCACATAGCATATCTCACTCCAAGCTTTCTTCAAAAGTGGCAGCCCTTCTTGAATGTATTCTGTTAACTTCTGTCTGTGTGTCCCAGGTTACAGTGTTGTGTCTGCCATGGCCACCTCAGGGACTCTGTACATCTCAGGGGCCCCTCGTCACAGCCTGACTGGGGGGGTCTTCGTCTTCAATGCAACTTCACACAAACTGCAGGAAATACTACTGGGTGACCAGGTAGGTCTATGTGTATAACAGATATATTGTGAAATCCATCTAAGAAATAAACTTGGACAGGTACTGTATCCATCTTTCGTTCCACTGTTAAGAGTACACAACCTGATGCTTACTGCCATCTTGTGGAGGTTACAAATAATAACCAAAATCTCCACTCTACAGGTGGGCTCTTACTTTGGCTCTGTGCTGTGTGCCCTGGACTTTAACGGGGACACTAAGACAGACTACCTGCTTGTAGGAGCACCGTACTTCCACCAGAGAGGAGAGGAGGGCAGAGTGATCATCTTCAAGCTAAACCAGGTCAGTAGAAATGCACTCATAAAATTGTGTTTCAGTGCTCAGAACTGTACTTTTCTGATGGTTGTGAGGGTTGTGTCCTAGGCCAAGGGTGAGTTTGATAAGGAGTCCTGGGAGTGGCATGGGCTGGACAGCTATGTATTTGCCAGATTCGGTTCAGCCATCTCTTCTGTTGGAGACCTGGACGGGAACGGATACAACGACGTGGCAGTTGGAGCTCCTCTGGAGGAAGATGAGATATGTGGCTGTTCTGGAAGCATCTATATCTATAACGGAGTCCAAGAAGGACTTCAGAGGGACCACTCACAGGTGATTTTGTAGAAGTCTAGCTTGCTGACAAAGAGCCTCTTACAATGATCCTGATGCCTGCAGTGAAAGGACTTTATACAGAACCCAAACATAACATCACTCATAGTGTTTTCATGAATTAACATGCGGTTAATGATTATGACAAGTGTTCATGACTTGTTCTTACTTCTAGAGAATTAAAGCTGCAGAGTTTGAGACAAAACTCCGCCACTTTGGCCAGTCTGTGAGTGCCTTCTCTGACAAAAAAGGTGCTGACAGGAGGAGACAGCTTCACATCATTGTCGGGAGCCAAGGCACTGTCACTGTCCTGAGGTGAGTATAGACAGCAGGAATATATGTACAGGAAGCCCTGTACTGTATATGTCCACCACAGATGTGTATACTGTTTCATTTAGTAGAATGCTTTTAAAAAAAAAGGTGCTACCTAGAATCCCAAAGGGTTCTTCGGCTGTCCCTGTATGAATCGCTTTACGGTTCTAGGTAACAACTTGTTTAAAGAGTATATGCGCTGTCCATTTACTGAATAATCTCTAAACTCTGAATGTCTACCAGAACAATCCCTGTCATCGTGTTTAAACCCAAGCTGACCATGAAGCCTAACACCATCCCCACATCCGCGCAGACAAACACAAAAACCAAGAAGGAGCAGGTCACCCTGGCCATCTGCTTCCAAACACAAAAGGGAAATATTGACAGTATGTCCAGTACAGTTCTCATCACCCATCGTCTCAGTTGACATAAACTAGAAAATGTAGATGTATTTGCTTGGAATTTACAGAATCACTTATTTTGTTCCATGATTTGTTTGTCTTTCAGCTGATGAACAACTTCCCATATCTTACAACATAGATCTGGATGCAGGTCAAAACAAAAAGCGTCTGTCTTTTGAGGACAAGGCAAATGGGGAAGGCATTTTCACTATACTATCTGATACAGACTGCCTTAACCCCATCAAACTGTTTTTTACGGTAGGTTTCTGAGGCATCTACATACATGACAAATATTACAACGGTCTTTAAATCTCTATTTTGAAGTATGAACAGTCTCCAGTAAGACTTGCTGATGAAACTGAATCACACGAGAGAGAGGGATAGGCACATGTAGTTTTTTCTCTCTTTCAGGGTTGCTATGACTGCTTCTCACCGATAGAGGTCAAGCTAAACTTCAAGTTGAATACCACTGAACCACCTCTCCGCATTCTGGATTTCTTTACTCCCACAGAGTTCACAGAAAAGGTGAGCATTTGGTAGACTACTCAACAAATTTGTGAAAAACTGTTCAAGCCTAATTCTTAATTATAATAATTATGTTATCATATGTGCTGTCAATTGAAATCTTCAGATTCAATTTGAGAAGGAGTGTGAGATTAAAGACAAATGCATGGCAAACATATCCCTATCTGATTCAAGGCTGAGGTAAATTAGTTTTCAATCACAATGCTATTATTTATCTTCTCCTATCTACAAACACTTATTTTTAACAAGGTGGAAATAATTAGTCATTGATTTGATACCCAAACAGATTATATATTGTCCTTTTTATCCTGTCATTTGTGTAACAGCAAGGATATGGTCATAATCGGATCGACCCAGAACTTGATGATTGACTTCAATCTGACCAACATTGGGGATAGTGCCTACATGACAACACTTGTTCTGGCATATCCCAACATGCTCCTTTTTAACAAGTTCACAACGGTAATTCCTCCTCACTGAAACAAAAATCAATTTGTTGAGTCCTGAGAACTAGATTTGAGGTTGGAAATATTAGGTCAGCTTTGTTGCATTGACTGACAAAGGAGTCAGCAACTGACTGACTATTGATCTGTTCATCATTCACAGAAAATGGAAGGGTCTGTTTGTGAGAACCAAATTAAAGAGAATATTTCTTGTTTGAAGTGTCATCTCTTACACCCAGTCTTCAAGAAAAATACCCAGGTACCGATACCCACCATGACTTAACTAATACAGCCTAGTGGCATTACTCAAGCCAAATGTCTCCCATCAAAATTGAAATGTCATTTTTCTCTGACCTGTCAGCATGTTTCTTTTTTGTTTTGATACCCTAGGTCAATTTCTCCATCTCCTGGCAGCCTTTGAACAAGAAATCAGAGATGCGAGAGGCTGAGATCACAGCAAACCTAACATGGTTTGAAACTTTCCATACCGATACTTCTTAAAATGTAGCATTTTACTATTTTATTTTAATGAAGTTGTCTACATTTTCCCTTCCTATCGTTGTTTTTAGTGAGAATGGTGGCACCCAGGTTTTGGATTTTAAGACGTACCACTTTGGAATAAAGAATGCTTTAAAGGTCCAACTGACTGGGTGGGTTAAGACTGAACGACAGTAAGACAGGGATGATTTCAAGGCAGAGAATGTCTTTATAGATCCTACTTAACGCTGTTGAATGTTGGATTTCAATTCCATTCAATTCAACTTTATTTTTCTGCTACCTTGTTGTTTACAGGGAGGCCACACCGAACATTATCAAATTCACGGACAAAACCATTGAGAAGAAAGACCTGACATTTAAGTTTCAGGTATGCTTGCTTTGTTTCCGTATGTGGTTGTGTTTCTATAATGTGTTCAAATCAAATCAAATTAAATTGATTTATAAAGCCCTTTTTTACATCAGCAGATGTCACAAAGTTCTATACAGAAACCCAGCCTAAAACCCCAAACAGCAAGCAATGCAGATGTAGAAGCACGGTGGCTAGGAAAAACTCCCTAGAAAGGCAGGAACCTAGGAAGAAACCTAGAGAGGTACCACGCTCTGAGGGGTGGCCAGTCATCTTCTGGTGGAGATTACAAGAGTACATGGCCATTAAGGCCAGATTGTTCTTCAAGATGTTGAAACGTTCATAGATGACCAGCAGGGTCAAATAATAATCACAGTGGTTGTAGAAGGTGCAACAGGTCAGTACCTCAGGAGTAAATGTCAGTTGGCTTTTCATAGCCGAGCACTCAGAGGTCGAGACAGAAGGTGCGGTAAAGAGAGAGAAAGAGGGAGAGAGAGAGGGAGAGAGAGATGGAGAGAGAGATGGAGAGGGAGAGAAAGAGGGAGAGCAGAAGAGTCGAAAACAGCAGGTCCAGGACAAGGTAGAACGTTCGGTGAACAGGTCAGGGTTCCATAGCCGCAGGCAGAACAGTTGAAACTGGAGCAGCAGCACGACCAGGTGGACTGGGGACAGCCAGGAATCATCAGGCCAGGTAGTCCTGAGTCATGGTCCTAGGGCTCAGGTCCTCCGGGAGGGGAGGGAGAGAGGGAGAGAGAGAGAATTAGAGGGAGCATACTTAAATTCACACAGGACACCAGATAAGACAGGAGAATTACACCAGATATAACAGACTGACCCTAGCCCGCCGGCACATAGACTATTGCAGCATAGATACTGGAGGCTGAGATGGGGGGGGGGGGACGATACTACCGCACAGGGCCAACCAGGCAGGATATAACCCCACCCACTTTGCCAAAGCACAGCCCCCACACCACTAGAGGGATATCAACAGACCACCAACTTACTGAATATAGCCCACGAAGATCTCCTCCACCGCACAAGCTCGAGGGGGCGCAAAACCGGACGGAAGATCACGTCAGTGACTCAACCCACTCAAGTGATGCACCCCTCCTAGGGACAGCATGGAAGAGCACTAGAAAGCCAGTGACTCAGCCCCCGTAATAGGGTCAGAGTCAGAGAATCCCAATGGAGAGAGGGGAGCCGGCCAGGCAGAGACAGCAAGGGAGGTTCGTCGCTCCAGTGCCTTGCCATTCACCTCGCACCCCTGGGCCAGACTACACTCAATTATATGATGAGATGAGTCTTCAGTAAAGACTTAAAGGTCGAGACCGAGTCTGCGTCTCTCACATGGGCCGACCATTCCATAAAAATGTTGCTCTATAGGAGAAAGCCCTGCCTCCAGCTGTTTGCTTAGAAATTCTAGGGAAAGTAAGGAGGCCTGCGTCTTGTGACCGTAGCGTACGTGTAGATATGTACGGCAGGACCAAATTGGAAAGATAGGTAGGAGCAAGTCCATGTAATGCTTTGTAGGTTAGCAGTAAAACCTTGAAATCAGCCCTAGCCTTAACAGGAAGCCAGTGTAGAGAGGCTAGCACTGGAGTAATATGATCAAATATTTTGGTTCCAGTCAAGATTCTAGCAGCCGTGTTTAGCACTAACTGAAGTTTATTTAGTGCTTTATCCGGGTAGCCGGAGAGTAGAGCATTGCAGTAATCTAATCTAGAAGTGACAAAAGCATGACAAAAGCATGTTTGCGTCTTTAATGTGTTTGCTGAAAGCAAACCCACTCTAGAATTGTACATATATATTATTATTCCGCCCACTCTAGTGCTTAAACCACCTATAAGCTATCGACACCAAACAAACGTTAGAATGTACAGACTGTTCCAACTTATAAAATATTTGTTTATGCTATTAATACTTTGTGTACCATAACCTCATTTGCATAAATTAGCATAACACGTCATGAATTCGATGTCAACCATAAGAACACAGTGACATTTCAAATGCTACTGCTCGTTAACCATTTCAGCTACAAACATTTAAAAAACTAACATTTTCAAAACGTTATAAACGATAACAATTCAAATTAGCTCAAATTAGCATAAAATAACCCAGGCTATCTTATCCTATCAATCAAGTGATCCTTCAAGACAAGCGAGCAAGCACACTAATTTTCTTCAGGAAATTTACTTTTCTAGTTCTATAATGTGAATGTTTGCATCTTTCTACAAATATTTTCTCCCTTCCAGCTTCACGGTGAGAACAAACACAACACAACTATATACGTCAACGTTACAATAACAGTACAGGCGCATGACACCAAAATGACAATCAAGAGTACTACACCTAAGGTATGTTAAAAACATCCAAACATTTCTATTGTTGTAATATTTGGTACCCAGTGTTCGTCCCTGACATAATCATTTGGTTTGGATTACAGGAGAGATGTGTGATCCCTGCAAATGCAGAAGTAAAAGTGAGTTTCATCCTTTCTCATTACACCTACAGTATAACATAAAATGATTCATGAAATCAAAATATTATACAGCATATTTATCTTAATATGTCAGCAGAAATGACAAATAAGAAATATATTAGCCAAAGTAACTTATATCTACAATGGTTAAATGTCACTATTTTATCATAATGAGAACATGTTGCCTTTTGAGTAGTAAATATGTGTTATTCCGCCAGGCCTTCGGAGAGTATCTCATTCAGTGTGCGGTCACAGATGTACAGGAAATCACGGTTGAGGCTGAGGCTTCAATCAGAGAAGTTCAGGTTGGTAGATGCACCTTTATTGACTTCCTCTGCAATATAGAGTTGAAGATCCTTACGCATTTTATGATTTTTATGGTCAAAATGCTTTGTTGTGACCATCCATCATCAATCATTACAGGGTAAATCTGAGAAGATTACAGCTAAAGCCACTCTGGGATTTGATGAAGACCAATTCGAAGCACTGGAATTGAGATCGATGGAATCGGTGGGTTAAACGTTCAATATCAAAATCAAATCAAATCAAATTTTATTGGCCACATGCGCCGAATACAACAGGTGCAGACATTACAGTGAAATGCTTACTTACCAACAGTGCATTTATTTTTAATAAAAAAGTAAAATAAAACAACAACAAAAAAGTGTTGAGAAAAAAAGCAGAAGTAAAATAAAATAACAGTAGGGAGGCTATATATACATGGGGATACCGGTGCAGTCAATGTGCGGGGGCACCGGCTAGTTGAGGTAGTATTAACAATAATAGAGATGTCCGATTTAAAAAATAGAATAGATAGTCCAAAAAAGTATATTTATTCATTTACATATATTATTGGAAAAGTTTAACTATCTTGCTCTGTCTGCTCTGCTTTGTGGTTCTGCTTCTTAGGTGGAGGTGATGATAATCAAACTGGTAGTGGAGAAATCATTACCCGTCATCATCGGAGGCTCCATTGGAGGCTTTCTATTCCTAGCCATAATCATTGTCATACTCGTTAAGGTAATAATGAGTGTTTTAGATGTTTTTGTACATCAAATACATGTTAAACTACTTTAGCTGGGCTTGATTGAGCTTGCATGAACCAATAGAATAGTCATAGAAGTGCAAACACTGCCAATCTAGCACTCAAGACAGGCTAAATCAAACACAAAAAATATTTGAAAGATTTCAATTTGAACCCAGGTCTGACTGCAATGTGTGTACAGTACATTCATTCGGTTAAAGTATCAAGGCACCACTATTCTAATCTTTCCTTTTTGAACTCGCAGTGTGGCTTTTTCAAACGACGCCATCAAGAGGATAAAGCAATAGATACTGAGTGATGCTCTGTCACTGGTAAGATTAGTGCTAAATGCTAAATTAGCTATTTGAAAGCTGGGATTTTACCATAAATAAACATTCCCACTGTACACTGGATCTGCATGGTGTTCCTCTGAACTTTAGCCTTAGCAGCCAAAATGCCCATAAGGAATTTGCATTGTTGAGTGATTTAATGAGAACTTTAAAATATGACAAAGCCATGTGATCCAAGAGACACTTTGTTTTGAGTATTTTGTTAAATATTTTGTAGTATTTTTTTTTGTATTTCACATTTCTACATATTCAGATAATTGACTTATAGCCTACTGTGATGACTGTTTTAAAATATGTTATATTGTACGGTTTTATATAACATATTACTCAATTAAAATATAGCACACTTTTTCAAATTTACTCAGATTTGTATTATGAGAACTTTGAAATATGACAAAGCCATGTGATTCATGAGCCACTTTGTTTTGAATTTGTTAATTATTTTGTTACCTATTGTATATTTCTACAAATGGAGATAATTGACTTACACTGTGATGATGTCTGTGTTTTTAAAGTATTCTATACTGTAAGGTTTACTATAAAATATGTCTCATATTTCTAGTGTACATTTATGTTTACATACAGTGGCGGAAAAAAGTATTTAGTCAGCCACCAATTGTGCAAGTTCTCCCACTTAAAAAGATGAGAGAAGCCTGTAATTTTCATCATAGGTACACGTCAACTATGACAGACAAAATGAGAAGAAAAAAATCCAGAAAATCACATTGTAGGATTTTTAATGAATTTATTTGCAAATTATGGTGGAAAACAAGTATTTGGTCAATAACAAAAGTTACTCAATACTTTGTTATATACCCTTTGTTGGCAATGACACAGGTCAAACGTTTTCTGTAAGTCTTCACAAGGTTTTCACACACTGTTGCTGGTATTTTGGCCCATTCCTCCATGCAGATCTCCTCTAGAGCAGTGATATTTTGGGGCTGTCGATGGGCAACACAGACTTTCAACTCCCTCCAAAGATTTTCTATGGGGTTGAGATCTGGAGACTGGCTAGGCCACTCCAGGACCTTGAAATGCTTCTTACGAAGCCACTCCTTCGTTGCCCGGGCGGTGTGTTTGGGATCATTGTCATGCTGAAAGACCCAGCCACGTTTCATCTTCAATGTGCTTGCTGATGGAAGGAGGTTTTCACTCAAAATCTCACGATACATGGCCCCATTCATTCTTTCCTTTACACGGATCAGTCGTCCTGGTCCCTTTGCAGAAAAACAGCCCCAAAGCATGATGTTTCCACCCCCATGCTTCACAGTAGGTATGGTGTTCTTTGGATGCAACTCAGCATTATTTGTCCTCCATTATTTGTCCTTACTGATGGTAGGCTTTGTTACTTTGGTCCCAGCTCTCTGCAGGTCATTCACTAGGTCCCCCCGTGTGGTTCTGGGATTTTTGCTCACCGTTCTTGTGATCATTTTGACCCCACGGGGTGAGATCTTGCGTGGAGCCCCAGATCGAGGGAGATTATCAGTGGTCTTGTATGTCTTCCATTTCCTAATAATTTCTCCCACAGTTGATTTCTTCAAACCAAGCTGCTTACCTATTGCAGATTCAGTCTTCCCAGCCTGGTGCAGGTCTACAATTTTGTTTCTGGTGTCCTTTGACAGCTCTTTGGTCTTGGCCATAGTGGAGTTTGGAGTGTGACTGTTTGAGGTTGTGGACAGGTGTCTTTTATACTGATAACAAGTTCAAACAGGTGCCATTAATACAGGTAACGAGTGGAGGACAGAGGAGCCTCTTAAAGAAGAAGTTACAGGTCTGTGAGAGCCAGAAATCTTGCTTGTTTGTAGGTGACCAAATACTTATTTTCCACCATAATTTGCAAATAAATTCATTAAAAATCCTACAATGTGATTTTCTGGAAAAAAAATTCTCAATTTGTCTGTCATAGTTGACGTGTACCTATGATGAAAATTACAGGCCTCTCTCAGAACTTGCACAATTGGTTGCTGACTAAATACTTTTTTCCTCCACTGTAGGTGTGAATTGCCTCAGCATTTTTGTTTTTAAATGTTTGCTCCAAATAACTAAATACAAAGATTTAATAAATAAAAAATCTGGAAAGCAAAATTTTCCTGTTATAAATCTCAACATGCTTTGTATAAAGGTTAAATAAAGTCTGATGAGTGAGAACATAGAGGGTGGTTAGTTAGAGCAAGGCTTTTCTTCACTATATTCAAAACGGAAATAATAACCTACCTGACATGAGACCTGAGACCTTGTGGTGAAGTGAAGTTACATACTTTACTTCAAACCTTTGACATTTTGCAAACTGTTGACAGCTTTGACATCTTCGCCTCAGATTGAAACCGACACATAGGCCTACTGGTCTGTTATTCATATCTTACCGACTCATGTTTTCCTTCCATGTCATCGCTAAAACCAATAACAAAAGCATCCCTGCCTTTCAAAACGTGGGTTTCATGCAAAAGCAGAAATAATTTACATTCCAGTGTGTACTGGTGTTTTGTACAGAACATCATAGGATGTGGGAAAATGTTGCAACAACTTGCACCTGTGACCTGCACATACACCTCTGCGTCATGTGACTTGTTCTAAGTCTGCCACACATTTCTTGTAAATCACTTTGGACAACTGGTTGTCAACTGAATGCTTTTTGTTGTTGCTATGTGCACAAACTGTCTCTTCTGAAGATTTAAAATCCATGCCACTTGAAACTCATTGGCTGAATTGAAATATGACCTAAGGAAATGATGTCATCAGTACATTGTTTTTCGCATGAAAGCTGATGGGTAAAGACAAGATTTGAACTTGATTCCAGATTTCAATAATCTCGTAGACCAGGGTAAGAAACTAAACTATGATCTCATTTCATTATAATTTTTTATGTGTTTGAATGTATATTTAGAATATAATGAGTGTTACACTAGCACACTGAAATTACTCTGAAATCATCATCAGAACGTTTGCCAATGTAGTTTATTTAGCTCTGGTCATTTTGGCCCCCATGAACAAGTACTGGACTGTGATGGCTTCTGTGGGTTCAACGGTTGTAGTGGCTGTATAACCAACCGACTGTTGTCTTCAGATTTACAGTATCACCACCATGGGATGGCTTCCAATAGCTGGAAAAGCAAAGTTATTTCGAATGTTCTTTCCTACCTTGACTATAAGACAGGAAAATTCATCATTGTAAAAAGCAAGAGAGTCGGCAGTTTGTACAGAGTTATACAATTATCCATCATTGGATACCTTGTTGGGTAAGGGACTCAACAAATACATTTCCACATTTTCAAGATGTATGCCCTTATAACGGTGTAAAGGCATTTGAAATGTTATTAATAAAATACAATCTAGTCCATCTATTTGTTAGTGCATATAAACTTAACGTGTAAAAATATATTCCAACCAATATTTTAAACCCCTATCAGACAGTAACCTCCACATTTTCTAAGCTTTAAACAGATTTGTTTTTATTATCCCCATTGAGATAGTTACATTATATTGTCCTCCTGGTCTACACAGGTATGTATTCCTGAGCAAGAAGTCCTACCAGACCGAAGAGTCTATCCAGAGTGCTGTGATGACCAAACTGAAGGGAGTGGCGGTCACCAACACATCAGAGTCCGGACGGATGGTGTGGGGACCTGTGGACTACGTCATTCCACCCCAGGTCAGACTAACCACAATCCTCTTTAAGTCGTTTGATGTTAATGTTAGCTCTTATTTCTATCTCATCCACTGTGCTTGACTGCTAGAATAAATATAATTATAAACTGAATGCCGATGGTATATCAGATTGTATACCACGGGTATGACCCCAATATTTTTTACTGTTCTAATTACATTGATAACCAGTTTATAATTGCAATAAGCCACCTCAGGGGTTCGTGGTATATGGCCAATATAATAGCAATAAGGCACCTCAGGGGTTCGTGGTATATGGCCAATATACAATGAGGGAAAAAAGTATTTGATCCCCTGCTGATGTTGTATGTTTGCCCACTGACAAAGACATGATCAGTCTATAATTTTAATGGTAGGTTTATTTTGACAGTGAGAGACAGAATAACAACAAAAAAATCCAGAAAAAAGCATGTCAAAAATGTTTTAAATTGATTAGCATTTTAATGAGGGAAATAAGTATTTGACCCCTCTGCAAAACATGACTTAGTACTTGGTGGCAAAACCCTTGTTGGCAATCACAGAGGTCAGACGTTTCTAGTAGTTGGCCACCAGGTTTGCACACATCTCAGGAGGGATTTTGTCCCACTCCAAGGCTGACGTTTGGCAACTCGAACCTTCAGCTCCCTCCACAGATTTTCTATGGGATTAAGGTCTGGAGACTGGCTAGGCCACTCCAGGACCTTAATGTGCTTCTTCTTGAGCCACTCCTTTGTTGCCTTGGCCGTGTGTTTTGGGTCATTGTCATGCTGGAATACCCATCCACGACCCATTTTCAATGCCCTGGCTGAGGGAAGGAGGTTCTCACCCAAGATTTAATGGTACAAGGCCCCGTCCATCGTCCCTTTGATGCGGTGAAGTTGTCTTGTCCCCTTAGCAGAAAAACACCCCCAAAGCATAATGTTTCCACCTCCATGTTTGACGGTGGGGATGGTGTTCTTGGGGTCATAGGCAGCATTCCTCCTCCTCCAAACACGGCGAGTTGAGTTGATGCCAAAGAGCTCGATTTAGGTCTCATCTGACCACAACACTTTCACCCAGTTCTCCTCTGAATCATTCAGATGTTCATTGGCAAACTTCACTTGGGCCTGTATATGTGCTTTCTTGAGCAGGGGGACCTTGCAGGCGCTGCAGGATTTCAGTCCTTCACGGCGTAGTGTGTTACCAATTGTTTTCTTGGTGACTATGGTCCCAGCTGCCTTGAGATCATTGACAAGATCCTCCCGTGTAGTTCTGGGCTGATTCCTCACCGTTCTCATGATCATTGCAACTCCACGAGGTGAGATCTTGCATGGAGCCCCAGGCCGAGGGAGATTGACAGTTCTTTTGTGTTTCTTCCATTTGCGAATAATTGCACCAACTGTTGTCACCTTCTCACCAAGCTGCTTGGCGATGGTCTTGTAGCCCATTCCAGCCTTGTGTAGGTCTACAATCTTGTCCCTGACATCCTTGGAGAGCTCTTTGGTCTTGGCCATGGTGGAGAGTTTGGAATCTGATTGAGTGTGCTCCTAATGTGTGCTCCTAATCTCAGCTTGTTACCTGTATAAAAGACACCTGGGAGCCAGAAATCTTTCTGATTGAGAGGGGGTCAAATACATATTTCCCTCATTAAAATGCAAATCAATTTATAACATTTTTGACATGCGTTTTTCTGGATTTTTTTGTTGTTATTCTGTCTCTCACTGTTCAAATAAACCTACCATTAAAATTATAGACTGATCATTTCTTTGTCAGTGGGCATACGTACAAAATCAGCAGGGGATCAAATACTTTTTTCCCTCACTGTACTTCTTAACAGCACTTTCAACAAGGCAGGTCCTACAGGCCCTAGTTTTGTCGAACCTGGACTACTGTTCAGTTGTGTGGTCAGGTGCCACAAAAAGGGACAATTGGCTCAGAACACGGCAGCACGGCTGGCCCTTGGATGTACACAGAGAGCTAATATTAATAATATGCATGTCAATCTCTCCTGGCTCAAAGTGGAGAAGAGATTGACTTCATCACTACTTGTATTTATGAGAGGTATTGACATGTTGAATGCACCGAGCTGTCTGTTTGAACTACTGGCGCACAGCTCGGACACCTATGCATACCCCACAAGACATGCCACAAGAGGTCTCTTCACAGTCCCCAAATCCAGAACAGACTATGGGAGGCGCACAGTATTACATAGAGCCATGATTACAAGGAACTCTGTTCCTCATCAAGTAATTGATGCAAGCAGTAAAATTAGATAAAAATACACCTTATGGAACAGCGGGGACTGTGAAGCAACACAAACATTGATACAGACACATGCATACACACACACACACACACGTAAACATGGATTTTGTACTGTAGATATGTGGTAGTGGTGGAGTAGGGCACACAGTATGTTGTGAATGTATTGTAATGTTTTTACAATTGTATAAACTGCCTTAATTTTGCTGGACCCCAGGAAGAGTAGCTGCTGCCTTTGCAGCAGCTAATGGGGATCCATAATAAATACAAATACAAATACCACGGCTAATGGCTGTATCCAGGCACTCCGCGTTGCGTTGTGCGTAAGAACAGCCCTTAGCCGTGGTATATTGGCCATATACCACACCTCCTTGGGCCTTATTGCTTAAATGTAATAAAGGCTGAGACTGCGGTTCCGAAATTAACCGCCCTGTTCCCCCCATGTCCCTCGCCCCGGAAGCGTCATCGTCAGAGCAAAAACTCTGTATCAAATCTGTAGAATGTGTTTCTTTACCTTTACACATACATTTTTGTGGTCACCCTCCCTTCACATTTCTCACTGTCAGTCATGAATGGTGAAATGTCCGTGCAGCATCGGCATGCCAATATTTGATCTCAATCAATTTAATGGGAATATGCATTTAGATCTTCTTGATATGAAGTTATGAAGCTTCAGATTTTTTGCTATTGTGAAGAGGCTTCCAGAGAATTCGGAACTGGAGCCACTATGTAGAATAAAAAGGAGATAGAGGACAGCCCTTTTAACTCATTTAATTAACATTATATTATTGATAAGCGTCAGTCTGGTATGCTTTTGCAAAATGTAAATTAAATAGTATGTATAAGCTGGAAGTAGAACAAGTGTTGCTGTCCATTAGTTTACTCCAAATAGGGGCATTAGACCGGTGGAAATGTGTCCTTTGGTCTGGAGTCCAAATTTGAGATTTTTGGTTCCAACCGCTGTGTCTTTGTGAGACGCGGTGTGGGTGAACGGATGATCTCCGCATGTGTATTTCCCACCGTGAAGCATGGAGGAGGAGGTGTTATGGTGTGGGGGTGCTTTGCTGGTGACATTGTCTGTGATTTATTTAGAATTCAAGGCACACTTAACCAGCATGGCTACCACAGCATTCTGCAGCGATACGCAATCCAATCTGGTTTGGTCTTAGTGGGACTATCAATTGTTTTTCAACAGGACAATGACCCAACACACCTCCAGGCTGTGTAAGGGCTATTTTATCAAGAAGGAGAATGTTGGAGTGCTGCATCAAATGACCTGGCCTCCACAATCCCCCGACCTCAACCCAGTTGAGATGGTTTGGGATGAGTCGGACGGCAGAGTGAAGGAAAAGTAGCCAACAAGTGCTCAGCATACGTGGGAACTCCTCAGGGAGCTGACCAAGAACCCGATTGTCACTCTGACAGAGCTCTAGAGTTCCTCTGTGGAGATGGAAGAAACTTCCAGAAGGACAACCATTTCTGCAGCACTCCACCAATCAGGCCTTTATGATAGAGTGGCCAGACGGAAGCCACTCCTCAGTAAAAGGCACATGACAGCATGCTTGGAGTTTGCGAAAACCTAAAGACTCTCCGACCATGAGAAACAAGATTCTCCTTCTATTCTCTCTCCCTCACCCTTCTTTCACCCCCACCACCTTGTCGTGACGTGACTTTCACTAATCTGATGACTGTTATTTATCGAATAAACGATCTATGTTTAATTGTTACTCGACTAAATTAATCATGTAACAATTAACTCATTAGGATTTGGGGCACCACGGAAGAAGTTGTTTAACGAGTTACCATCTCCCGAATTAAACCTATCACATCCATAAAACTGTCAACGTATTAATTAATAACCTCTTAGCATATCATAATTCTGAAAGGTCGTAACCTTCTTGGATCTGCAAAAACCCCAGATTGACTTATGATTCAGCACTACAGAAATTGGTTTTAATTATTTATTTACTAGCTAACTAAATAATAACACAGAATAACATACACACTTAATACATGAGAAAAAGGTCCCTAGCGGACTAACAACATGACTGCTTGTTTACCAAAAGAGGGAGGGGTAGAGAGAGAGAGAAAAAGAGAGACACAACACTTATCATACATTTGGAAACTACGCTCACTGTAATCATTTGTGACCGTTCCTGGTGTGAAAACAATGTCCTATCCCGGAACTCGAGTAAATGACGTTACTAAGCTCCACCCGAATGTACTACGCCAGGACATGGAAATCGATTCTATCGTAGTCCATGTGGTTTTAATGACATTATGACGGGCAGCTCTGAACAGTTAAAACTGGATTGTAAAGAGCTGATTGCTAGACACTAACAAAAAACACATCATATCTGGCCCTGTGCCCTCGCTGAATCGTGGCATTGAACGCTTTAGCAGGATTCTTGTGTGATTATTGCAGCTCAATGGGTGTAACTTTTGTCAACAATTTCGATACCTTTTGGAAACAAAACACGTTTTATAAGGAGGATGAGATCCACCCAAATCATAGAACAATGCTTGTCTTTCCCAAATGCCAAGAGTGTGCAAAGCTGTCATCAAGGCAAAGGGTGGCTACTTTGAAGAATCTCAAATATAACATATTTGATTTGTTTAACACTTTTTTGGTTACTACATGATTCCATATGTGTTATTTCATAGTTGTGATGTCTTCACTATTATTCCACAATGTAGAACATAGTAAAAATAAAGAAAAACCCTGGAATGAGTAGGTGTGTCCAAACTTTTGACTGGTACTGTATATTTACAAAATAAATATGGGGATTGGAAATTATGCAGACAATTACATTGATGGAAGCCATAATCTGTCTGCAATATTAAAGCTGATTGAATGCAATGTATTGACTTATGTGTCACGTCTCGTGAAGCACATCTTTCTCAAATGTGTGCCACACTTACGCTTATCAGTTGATATCAGGCTGGTTTAACACCCCTTTATTATTTCCAATAGGGGGAAGCAGTTTTTTCCATTGTTACCAATTTTATAGAGACACCAAACCAGAAGTTGGGCAACTGTGCTGAGGTAAGGAAATTCCCTTTCATTGCTTTGTGTTGTCACCTTTAATCACCCTTTTAAAACGGCAATATACTCTGTATTTGGTCTGTATTTGTTTCACAGAGCCCCAATGTGCCAGATGGCCACTGTAAGGGAGATGAAGACTGTGCAGAGGGAGAGTTAGTGGAAGCTGGCCATGGTAGGAATCTTTGAATTTAAACAAATTGAAACGAGAAATTACTCTTCACAAACATACTGTAAAATCTAATTTTCTGTAGGAGTTAGGACAGGCCGCTGCTTGAGAGACAATGGGAAATCCAATGGTATGTGTGAGATATATAGCTGGTGCCCCGTTGAGAGAAGCTGCAAACCACAGTAAGTGCACTCACACAGTTTCACTTTTGTAGCCAGACAACACACACACACACATACACACACACACACACACATGCACGCACACAAACACATACACACACAGGCACATACATGCACGCACACGCATGAGCATGTGTACGCAGTAGTAATGTTCATTCCCTTTCATTCCTTCAGGGGTAGACATAAACACAAGAATATGTTAACGGAAGCTGAAAACTTCACCATCTACATAAAAAATGTCATCCGATTTCCCAAATTCAGTTTCTCAAAGTAAGTTGTCTATGTTAAAACCATGTTAAAACCATCTAAAAACAGACAGATGGTTTTCTGCCAGAGTTTTCTTTAAATGTTTAAATCAATAAACTGGAGCTGGAGTCTTTTAATCTGTTAATATGAAGTATTTCAGAGACTGTTTGCTGTCTGCAATTTGATAAATAAAAACGTTTAACTTTAAAATGTTTCACCCAATTATCAGGGCCAACGTCCAGGACACGGCTGATAAATTCCATCTGAAGAAATGTCACTACGATGAGGCCCTTGAACCCTACTGCCCCATATTCCGTCTGGGAGATATTGTTAACCGAACTGGACACAGCTTTCAGGACATGGCTTTGATGGTCAGTTTTCACAATTGAAAAGTTTATTTGTCGTTGTTGTTGTTGTTGTTGTTGTTATTGATGATGATGTTGATGAGGATAATGTTTTCAATTACCTTAAGCAGTTAAATGCACACTCTGTACGATGTGCATACCATCAAAGAGTAAGCAACCAACAATATACATAAATAATGTAAATAATATAGCATTTTGCTATCAATACTCTCTCACTCTCCAGGGTGGTTCAATTGGAATTCTGATTGAGTGGAAGTGTGACCTTGACAGAGATCTCTCAGAATGCCAGCCACGGTACAACTTTACTCGCATTGACATTAACGTGTCCAGAGAGTCCTCAGGATTAAACTTCAGGTGACATACACACACACAGGAAGTTGACACATGACACATAATACTTAATTTGAACATACTTTAATCTTCCACATTTTTGGTACTCTCATAACAGACATGCTCGCTATTACAAAACTGAAAACAATTCAAAGTGTATGGTATACGCATCAACATCATGGTGCATGGAAAGGTATGAGAAATATGCATTATTCTATGGCTTTTCAGGATAAATGCATCTATTTTGTTTCCTGATGTTTTGATTCCCTTATTGTTACATCCTTCTATTTTCTACTACAGGCTGGAAAGTTCTGTATCATCCCCACCGTTATCAATATAGGCTCAGGACTAGCTTGTATTGGTGGTGTAAGTATTATTCAACAAACCTGTACATACCTGTACAGTCAAAACAATACTTTCAGACCAACTTTTTTTTTTGTTAAGATCACATTTTGTATGGACTATACAAAATGTAATCTGCTATCAATACAGCAGAGGAGGCTAGTGGGAGGAGCTATAGGAGGATGGGCTCATTGTAATGGCTGTAATGGAATAAATGGAACGGTATCCGTTTAATTTATTCCATTCCAGTCATTACAATGAGCCCCTCCTCCTATAGCTCCTCCCACCAGCCTCCTCTGCAATACAGGTATATAGTATATTCTGTATATTTTATTATATAAGATTATATTATATTATATATGTTCATGGACCTCGTTTTGTTGCAGGGGGCCTGGTTCTGCGACTGGATTATTCTCTACCTGATGAAAAATAGGGAGTTCTATAAGCACTGGAAGTTTGAAACACTGAAGAAGTATGGCATTTACAATAAATATTTGTCTGAGTTACAAGACATTTGGAAATATTTTTCCTGGTAACGGAGATTAAGAGAGACTCTTATTATAAAATGTCACGTTATTTTTCCCTCTCCCCTTTTACAGGAAAGACAGCAACACACGTAACATCATAGAACACCATAACAGTACTACAGAGGATATAAAACAAACCCCAGAAGAGCAGCAGCTCACTGACCTATCACCAGAGGTTTAACACCATGGCAGCAGCTCACTGACCTATCACCAGAGGTTTAACACCATGGCAGCAGCTCACTGACCTATCACCAGAGGTTTAACACCATGGCACCAGCTCACTGACCTATCACCAGAGGTTTAACACCATGGCAGCAGCTCACTAACCTATCACCAGAGGTTTAACACCATGGCAGCAGCTCACTGACCTATCACCAGAGGTTTAACACCATGGCACCAGCTCACTGACCTATCACCAGAGGTTTAACACCATGGCAGCAGCTCACTGACCTATCACCAGAGGTTTAACACCATGGCACCAGCTAACTGACCTATCACCATAGGTTTAACACCATGGCAGCAGCTCACTGACCTATCACCAGAGGTTTAACACCATGGCACCAGCTCACTGACCTATCACCAGAGGTTTAACACCATGGCAACAGCTCACTGACCTATCACCAGAGGTTTAACACCATGGCAGCAGCTCACGGACCTATCACCAGAGGTTTAACACCATGGCAGCAGCTCACTGACCTATCACCAGAGGTTTAACACCATGGCAGCAGCTCACTGACCTATCACCTGTGGTTTAACACCATGGCCGCAGCTCACTTAGCTTTACCTAAAGAAGCCGGTGTAAAATAAACGCCTGAGCGGAATGCCACACATTCTGGTCATGAGGAGAGAGAGAAAAACTGTTGGGGAGGTTCTCTTCTGCACTGTTCAACCAATCCACACTCTTTTTGGATCCAGGTAGAACCCTTTTAGGTTCCAGGCAGAACCCTTTTGGGTTCCATGTAGAACAAAAAAGGGTTCTTCAAAGGGTTCACCTATGGGGACAGCCGAAGAACCCTTTTAGGTCCTAGATAGCACCTTTTTTTCTAAGAGTGCAGTAAATGTGGAGGAGGAGTTAAGATGGAGTGTTGCCTTGTTAATATTCCGGAATGAAACAAATTCAAAGAGCAAGCAAGCACGTGCCGTAGCTAGCTAGCCAGATATTAGCTAGCATTATCTAGTTATAATGGAATCTCGGACAAAGTTGACACCAACAAAATTGGTATGTGGTGTCTGTCGACTTTGCGGCAAGAACTTCATCTCGAGGAAAGACAGGCACTATCTATAGCACAGGAGGTTGGTGGCACCTTAACTGGGGAGGATGGGCTCGTTGTACTGGCTGGAGCGGAATTAGTGGAATGGTATCAAATACATCAAACTCATGGTTTGATGCCATTCCATATGCTCCGTTCCACCCAATATTATGAGCCGTCCTCCCCTCACCAACTTCCACTGATCTATAGGCATCTGCTATATGTTTCACCGGGACTGTAAACAGCAAGGCGCACGTCCAAAAGCAAATCGTTTCTCCTTAAAACCGGATGTTTCCGTGTTCCTTCGACCCTGCTGAGAGTGCTGATAGCCTGGGTGCATGCCTGTTTCTGCTCTCTTGCCAACTCCTTATGGAATTTAAACTCGACCTCATGTGTGACTGCAGATAGGCTTCCTCTGTAGAACTATTCTTGTGTTATTCACTGATGGATAGTTTGTTTTATCACTTTTGTTTTACCATTGTTTGTTTGTTTTATCACTGTATATTGTGTGATTTAGCATACATAGTTTGCTATTTTTTTGTAATTGCTGTTAACCTGTATAATCTACAGTACTTTGATTGTATGTTTTACTTTTGTCCTACTTTCATGACCATGTACAGTGAGGAAAAAAGTATTTAGTCAGCCACCAATTGTGCAAGTTCTCCCACTTAAAAAGATGAGAGAGGCCTGTAATGTTCATCATAGGTACACGTCAACTATGACAGACAAATTGAGAAAAACATTTTTTAATGAATATATTTGCTAATTATGGTGGAAAATAAGTATTTGGTCACCTATAAACAAGCAAGATTTCTGGCTCTCACAGACCTGTAACTTCTTCTTTAAGAGGCTCCTCTGTCCTCCACTCATTACCTGTATTAATGGCACCTGTTTGAACTTGTTATCAGTATAAAAGACACCTGTCCACAACCTCAAACAGTCACACTCCAAACTCCACTATGGCCAAGACCAAAGAGCTGTCAAAGGACACCAGAAACAAAATTGTAGACCTGCACCCAGCTGGGAAGACTGAATCTGCAATAGGTAAGCAGCTTGGTTTGAAGAAATCAACTGTGGGAGCAATTATTAGGAAATGGAAGACATACAAGACCACTGATAATCTCCCTCGATCTGGGGCTCCACGCAAGATCTCACCCCGTGGGGTCAAAATGATCACAAGAACGGTGAGCAAAAATCCCAGAACCACACGGGGGGACCTAGTGAATGACCTGCAGAGAGCTGGGACCAAAGTAACAAAGCATACCATCAGTAACACACTACGCCGCCAGGGACTCAAATCCTGCAGTGCCAGACGTGTCCCCCTGCTTAAGCCAGTACATGTCCAGGCCCGTCTGAAGTTTGCTAGAGTGCATTTGGATGATCCAGAAGAGGATTGGGAGAATGTCATATGGTCAGATGAAACCAAAATAGAACTTTTTGGTAAAAACTCAACTCGTCGTGTTTGGAGGACAAAGAATGCTGAGTTGCATCCAAAGAACACCATACCTACTGTGAAGCATTGGGGTGGAAACATCATGCTTTGGGGCTGTTTTTCTGCAAAGGGACCAGGACGACTGATCCGTGTAAAGGAAAGAATGAATGGGGCCATGTATCGTGAGATTTTGAGTGAAAACCTCCTTCCATCAGCAAGGGCATTGAAGATGAAACGTGGCTGGGTCATTCAGCATGACAATGATCCCAAACACACCGCCCGGGCAACGAAGGAGTGGCTTAGTAAGAAGCATTTCAAGGTCCTGGAGTGGCCTAGCCAGTCTCCAGATCTCAACCCCATAGAAAATCTTTGGAGGGAGTTGAAAGTCTGTGTTGCCCAGCGACAGCCCCAAAACATCACTGCTCTAGAGGAGATCTGCATGGAGGAATGGGCCAAAATACCAGCAACAGTGTGTGAAAACCTTGTGAAGACTTACAGAAAACGTTTGACCTGTGTCATTGCCAACAAAGGGTATATAACAAAGTATTGAGAAACTTTTGTTATTGACCAAATACTTATTTTCCACCATAATTTGCAAATAAATTCATTAAAAATCCTACAATGTGATTTTCTGGATTTTTTTTTCTCATTTTGTCTTTCATAGTTGACGTGTACCTATGATGAAATTACAGGCCTCTCTCATCTTTTTAAGTGGGAGAACTTGCACAATTGGTGGCTGACTAAATACTTTTTTCCCCCACTGTATGATTTCGTTTAATTTCATTTCAAAATTGTTCATTTATTGTTAGAATATTTCATTATTTTTGACTAATAAAAGTATTTGTTTCATTTAAGCACATGTATTACTCTTAAATGTAATCTCAATAGATCATTGTGGGTTTGAATTATGGGACTAATGGCAAAAACCACATTCACTGCCGTTGGCAGGCATATAGGCCTACATGATACAGCAAAAAGTGAAGAGATCTATCTTTTCCACCGTTACAAAGAAAATGTTGTTGTGAATCAGGAAAATGTATGGTTCTGGTGGCAGATCAGTTGGTCATATCAGAGTTGGTTAGGGCAATAGAAGGGTTTAGTCGGATAACTATGGCAACACATACATACAAAGGTACAGTACAGAACACCATAAAGTATCATATGCTAATGAACTTGACAGTTTTGCCATTGATGCTTGCTCTATCTATCTAGAATCAAGACTAGACAAGAATTGAGTGAATGAGCAAACTGGTATTTTATGCTGTCTTGTCTGGTCACTGATCACTTGTGAGGTAACACCTTATGACATACTTTCTGGGTAATTTAGCCGAATTAGTGAAAGATGATGGCACACCAATAGACTACATATGAAGATGTGTTAGATTAAGATATTCAAGTAACCTTTCAGGTATCAATATTACATTATTTAAATTAGGATAGGATGAACTTTAATGTCCCTGAGGGGTAAATTGTATTTGGCACACAGTACTGGTGTGTACAAAATAGACACTGTACATTACACACCCAAAATAATATATACAAATGAAATGCTCCAGGTATCATTCTGTAAGAATTACCTAGGCTTTTTTATTTTAATCATGAAAAGTATGAAAAGTCATAGACATTCTAGAACAACTACAATGCTATACCTCTAGTCTAGTGGGAGGAGCAGGACAGACATAATCCTCCCGTTCAGTATGGCCCTCCCCTTTGCTTTATCTAACCCCAAGCCTAACAACAGTGTTCGTCACCGTTCTCATGATCATTGCAACTCCACGAGGTGAAATCTTGCATGGAGCCCCAGGCCGAGGGAGATTGACAGTTCTTTTGTGTTTCTTCCATTTGCGAATAATCGCACCAACTGTTGTCACCTTCTCACCAAGCTGCTTGGCGATGGTCTTGTAGCCCATTCCAGCCTTGTGTAGGTCTACAATCTTATCCCTGACATCCTTGGAGAGCTCTTTGGTCTTGGCCATGGTGGAGAGTTTGGAATCTGATTGATTGATTGCTTCTGTGGACAGGTGTCTTTTATACAGGTAACAAGCTGAGATTAGGAGCACTCCCTTTAAGAGTGTGCTCCTAATCTCAGCTCGTTACCTGTATAAAAGACACCTGGGAGCCAGAAATCTTTCTGATTGAGAGGGGGTCAAATACTTATTTCCCTCATTAAAATGCAAATCAATTTATAACATTTTTGACACGCGTTTTTCTGGATTTTTGTGTTGTTATTCTGTCTCTCACTGTTCGAATAAACCTACCATTAAAATTATAGACTGATCATGTCTTTGTCAGTGGGCAAATGTATAAAATCAGCAGGGGATCAAATACTTTTTTCCCTCACTGTATGTTACAGCCTTATTCTAAAATTGATTAAATAATTGTTTTTCCTCATCAATCTTCACACAAAACCCCATAATGACAAAGCAAAAACAGGTTTTTCAAATTTTTTGCAAATGTATTACAGATAAAAAACAGAAATACCTTATTTACATAAATATT